CACTTGATTTAATGTCAAGGTTCCGACAGATCAAGATGAATAAATCTGAATTCCAAGGTTTGCAAATTCCTCAAAGAAGATGTTTATTAGTTACAAAGCATTGGCATAGTCAAGAGTGAAACCAAGTCTGGATACACAAGTAACAATTTTCCAATACAAAGTTAAATGTCCCACCCCACAAAAGCTGTGCAAGCAACTATGTTCCCCAATATGATTATTTGGCAGGCTTTTTATGCAATGCCCAGTCCCTAGTCTTGGGAATAGCTGATGATCTTGCTTCCTATGGGACAAAAGATAATTTTGACTAACAAAGCACTTGGGCAACCCCCCTCCCTCCGTTCTATATGGCAACTTAGAATGAGAAGGAAAATGGCTGCAGCCATGCTGATTTATAGAGTTGACAGCATCGTGATATACTATGGGTATAAACATAGATTAATACTGATATGTAATGCCATCAACCTAGCAGTATACTGCAATATGCTTTCATTTCACTTAGCAGAATCAGCTGCTTTGATTGAACAGGCCATATTGTGGTATTTAAATATTGGAACTTCAGTTATCTGTCTTTGAGTAGTTGCTCCCTTGTTAGATCTCAATTAATTACAATTTCCAAATATTCTTCTTCTCAAGTTCAAAGCAAAGTCAAATGTAAAATAAAAGAGGTAAACATTTAAAGGATATCTCCTTTTCCTTTTAAATTTTTCTAATGCTTTCAGAAGCATTTCTCTATATTCCAACTCAACCATAAATCACACCTGCTTTTTTAATGTATTCTATTTAAGGATTTGCAGCCTCACCGAAAGATTGTAACTCTTCATTCAGCACAGTTTAAGGGCTATGGAAATGCAGATGTCCTTGTTTATAGATTGGGGATAAATTTACTCCTGATTTATTGTCCTTTTCTTCTCTTCAGCCAAATATGCATATAGCCAGCCACAAAATTGTTCAAATTCTTATTCATAGAAGAACCAGCTGAATCAGAAGGAGCTATAGCAGAATGTACTGAAGTACCAGACATGGATCCTTATACCAAGACTAAATAATGTAAATTTTATTTCATCCCATTTATCAATATATTCATTTAGGGTTTGATTTACCACACAAATACGCACTGTGTCCCAAACCACAGTAGAAGCCCATACAAAATTGGAGTAGTGTATATTATTTAAATAATACTAGGGTAATAGAACCTGAATTTAATTTGAAAAAGGAAAACTATCATGGGAATCATTGGAATACAAGATCCGAAGTCTCCTTGGCTGTAGGTAATCACCTAACTTGCTTCTTATTGCAAGTTCAATAAGTACAGAAAAGCAATAGAATACTAGATTCTAGTATAGAAGATTTTAATTTTAGGTATATAGAAAAGGCAGCTCAAGGAGCTGCCTAACATCAGTGTTTCTACACAGCAACTGCAAGTATCAATGTTCTTAGCATTCATATTTTTTTAAAAAAACCCTTCATTTTAAAAAAATAAATTGGAAGCTGGAATGCTACCGTCATTTTTTCCCCTAATAATGCCATTGAGCCCTACATATGACATAGAAATATGCTTGAACCCCAATATTTTTAACTGTTTGATCACCCACCCAGAAAAAAAAAGACAAATGAAAAGTAAGGTCTGTGAAGGAACCCCCTAAGGACTTATTTTGAAGACGCATATACTCAAGTGTATATTGTGTATAAATGTGCTTCTAAGGAAAATGAATGGATGGGGGAGATTTCACTGAGCATCATCAAATTTACTTTCTGGCCAAGTCATTTTCTTTGCCTTTCAAAAAATGGGTTTAGTGCCTGGTCACTAGACAGTCATGTCAAATCAGCTTTGGAATTGTTTTTTCTGCTGAGAAAATGGGAGTCTGTATAAATAAACAATTTCATACACAGGCAAACCTATGGTACGCATGCCACAGGCAGCACGCAGAGCCGTCCCTGTGGCACGTGCACTATCACCCCAGAGGGAGGTGGGGCCGGGCAGCTCCTCTCGCCTTTCCACGTGCGCCTGCGCTCTCGCTCTCTTTCTCTCTGCACTGGGAGTCAGGGAGCAGCTGCAAGAGCTGGGTGGATCTTGGCTGGATGGTGGAGGCAGGCCTTTTTTTCTCATACAACGCAGGCACCTTTTTTTGAACGGAAGCTGCCAGCACAAGTCCAGGTATGCCTGCAGAGCGATTTTGCAGACTGCCAACAGCCCAATCCAGGCTCTGGAGGCCTTTTCGAAGCTTCCAGAGCTCAGATCCATGGCCACAGAGCAATTTTGCAGCCCTCCAGCAACCCGATCCGGGCTCCACAGGCCTTTTCAAAGCAGCAATGGTGGCAGGGCGATCCATGCAGGGATAGGGGGGAAACGGCGAAGGCAGGGCTATCCGTGCGGGGGTGGAGTGGGAAATAGCGGTGACAGCAGGGCAAGCCATGCGGCTCATGAGGGGGGGAACCTGCCCCACTTGTTCCATGGCCGCTTTCAGCCGAGCCACATTGCAGCAGTATTGGCCACAATACGCGAGGCAGCAAACAGCTCATCACATCGAAACGGGCCATTTGCCCACTTTTGCTATCTAATACTTTACTTTCTTAACTGTCACATTTTTACTAACAGTCCTTATTCTTATTTATTCTGGACTCCTGACAGACCTTCCCCAATATTTGGCTGTGGCTCAGTTCCAACAAGATTAGAAGGAAGTTTCAGAAGAGATGACCTTATGTCCAGAGCTATACAGAACACTACATATCTCTGGTAGTTTCTTCAGTTGTGTGATGTTAATATGTCTATTCTTAGTTTAAACTAGTACTTATGACCAGTTTGAGAGAAGAGGTTCTTCCTGCTGGCTGGAAAAAAATATAGCAAGTGTGTACATGATTCTTCAGAAGCCAACCATATATCCTCAATCATAAAACTAGATAATACTGACATCCCTTAAGAGAAAAATTTGGTATTCCCCCAGAGATTATATGAGTAGTATATTTTTTAATGAACTGACAGGGATTCTTAGGATTTGTCTTATTTGTAAAGTATAGTTTTATAATTTGTTCTAATTATTGTTTTGTAAAGTTTCTCGTGCTGTAAACTTAACAGAGTTTATAATGGTAACGAAGTGCTGGAAAGATCATTCTCCTGAATATTTCCCTACTATTACTACTTATTCATGTAAAGATGTATTTGCTTTAGAAATCTTATCAAAAGAGAAAAGAGAAATGCTCATGCTGATATGCAGAATTTTCTCATTTAGATACAGGCAAACCATGATTTGTGACTCTCTTGCCTGTCATCATGCAATCCTTTCTCCCATCAACTTCAGCCTTCTTGGCTTGAATCAACACTCAAAAGAAGATATCATGAGGAAAATCTTTCTGCTAGGCTTTTTGAGTAAAACAGAACTATTGTTAAAAATGTTTCTTTTTCTTGAAGAAATGGCTGGAGAAGTCTTTCTTCCCTTGAGAAATTCAGAAAGACTCTTCACTCAATTTCCTCTGCCCACAAATTTGATGAAGTTTTATCAAAAGTCCCAGATATTTTAAATCTTGATACAGAACTGGGGAAGTGCTACATAAGCAGGCAGCTAATTCCAGATCTAGAGAGGTTTATTAAATTTCTCATCTATGTGACTGAGTGGTTTACAACAACATAGTGAAACAATATAAACACATTACCAAAGAGTACTGTTAAAAATAGAATATGGAAACAGGGTATGGAAAATAATAACCAAAATGGTCCCTATGATGGTAGGAGGACATGGGCTGTGACTCCTAAGCTGGGAGAGTGGCTCAATAGATCTCAGAAACAACATCAGAGTTCTCTATCCAGAAGTGCTAGGAAAAGTTAAGATATTGTACAGAACCCTCAAACTCCCAGGCCTCTAGTAGAGGACTCAAAATTGAGAAAGACATGTCACCTATAGAGATGAGGAATAGTTTTTAAAAAAATCCTATGAAACTATCTTAATTTATATTTAATAAAATCTCTTTGGTGTTCATTCTCTTCAAATCCCAGAACCTATTGGCTATTAGCTGGCCATGGTGAAACCCTCACATTCTCTTTAGATATTAGTGTCTATTTTTTTTTTAGCAGCCAAACCTTTTTCTGGTAGTCAATTATTTTCTGAACTTACCTTAAAATCTTTCTTCTATATTACTGGCTCATGGGATTTTTTCCCCAACTTTCATTCAATATGATTCAATTCAAAGCATCACCTTGCAAGTGTTAATGAATAAATTTCATTAGCAATATAGACACCACTAGAATTTGACAGGTGAAGTGGTTTCCAAGTAGAAACAAAACTAATTGTATTCTTTTCTTTTAATCAAAGCAGTCAATTTAGCCACCTCTGCTAAATTTGTCAAGTTTTGCAGCCGTACATCCATTGTGGGAATCAAAGTATCCTGCCATTTTTGTGCATAGAGTGTTCTTGATGTTGTTAGCATATATAATATCAAAGTTTTAAATTTTCTGCATTTTTTTTATATTGCATCGCTATTGGATACAGCTTCCCTGTAATTATTATTAAAATAATTTAATAATATTATTATTTTGGTGCACTAAGGTGGAGAGGATGGGAAAAGGAGGAGAAATCCAATTAAAGCAACAAGTTAAAAACTAAACTTAAAATACATTTAAAATATCAGCTGAAACATTTTTGTTCTGTGCAATTTAACATCCAACTTCAGAATTACAATTCTAAAGAGGAATTGAGGGATGGCTGGTTTTATTTCCTATGATCTGAAAAACATTCCCTCATTGTTCTAAGAATTATTCACTGCAAACATCAATGACTGATACTCAGCTCAGTAAATGTCCAATGATCAAATAATTGTCCCAAACTAACTGATATCCTGCTTTAATGTATTATATTGTGGGTCAGCCAAGGAACTGTTTTATTCATATCTATATCTATAAAAGCATCATTCCCATTATACACATTTAAAAGCAAAATCTTATCCCTTTGCACACAATAAAGCAATTAGCAATCAAGTCCTAACTTTTGAAAAAGCATCAGCTGCAGCACTGTACAGTAAATAAAGTTTTATTTTTTTCCAGCTCTGCAAGATTAGTGTTGCCAACAATCAGAGATCAACTTATAATACAAGTAAATAGTATCTATTTACAAATTTTAAGAGTGTAAATTTATTTCTCACAAAATATAGTACAAAAGCTATATATTAATAAATGAAGTCTTGCAATCTGGATTCATTATAAGCAAAAGCTTAAAAATAGAGGCTTTTAATGAACAATAGAAGGAAAATAGCCAATTCCCTATTCAGAATGTATTGCAAAATTATTTCAGACAATATGTAATATATGAGACAAAACCCACAATAAAATAAATAGAATCATTCATTTTTGTGAAAGCTCTATTGAAGGAAAATATTTTGATTCCTTTAAAAAAAATTATAAAGCTAAACTGAAAATTATATCCAAATGAAGCACACAGCACTTGATGAATAATCTTTCTTAAAGGCAAAAAGTTAACATATTCATAGTCCCAACTGTCAATCTTTCCTTCCTTGCTGTATTCCTTTCAAAGCTATTCTGTCTACTCCATACTTCAAAGAGCTAATTTGAGGGTATGATCTGATTTCCAAGTTCTGTAATCTTTTACAAAGTGCATATGTTGCAAGTTCTTCAACATAAGGATCAAAACCAGAGCTAGAAAAGAATTGGAGAGAAAAGGGGGAAGGGGAAAGAGACAGATAAGAAATGTTATAAATTGTGCGAATGCATAGCATGCAAATATTTGTAAATATACTGCTAACTAATTATAAGACAAATACATTAATCTTAATCATCAGCGCCACTAATATGTTGGCAAACAATTATTTTTCAGAGTGTCAGTGGGAGTTAAGGGAGACAGCATATGAAAGGAAAAGTCACAATAAAACAGTGAAAAGGCAGCAGACATCTTGGTTTGGCAACACACAACACATTACAAGGGAGGGAGGTGTCTATTACCAGGGATGTAAGTGACATGCAGCCTATAACTGACTGTATTTTCTTTTTGTACTTTATGCCCTTCTGAAGTTTAATATGAATTGCGGCATTTGCTTTAATAGCTTTTGTGTGTGCAAATGCGACAGTGCTGGTATTGGCTTCTAGTCAGTGTTGATTCTTGACAGTGTGGACAAGTTCCTGCAGTTTTCTTGGCAAGATTTTGTAAATGGCTTGTCACTGTATCCTTTATAAAGCTGAGAGAAAATGACTGGCAAGTTACCCAGTTGGCTTTATATCTAGGGCAGAACTATTACTCAAGTCTCCCAGTTTTAATCTGGTGCCTTAGTCATTACAGCAGACTGGATCTCTGTATTAGCTTAAAATTATTAATAATTTTAAAATAATAGCTTTCATGTTATAAAGTAATTCCATGTATTTTACCTACAAGTATAATTTGTTATCACTGCCCTTCTGCTTTTTGAATTGCGACTGTAAATTGCAATGGCTTCTACTGTGTTCCCCTGAAAATACAACCTACCCAGAAAATAAGACCCAGATTAATTTTTGAGGTTGGGCCTAATATCAGCCCTACCTCAAAAAGTAAGCCCTACTTAAGACTCCACCCACTCTGTCCCACTGTAGGTTTTTTGGCAAGCCAGATCACATACCTCCCCCCCCCACCGCCTGCTGCTAGTGCTGCTGCTGCGAGGTGGCCTGAATGTTAAGAGAGCTGGGGCCTGAGGCAAACAGAGGCTGCCTCCTTTCTATTCCTGCCCTGCACTGGGGAATCCAGCAGGCAGATGGGGATGGGGACTGGCTGGGGCCTCAACCAGCAGCTTCTCTCTTTCACCCTCATCCTGAAGCAGCCTCTGGAGGTGGCCTGCACTGCCCTGTGGGCTTTGCCGGCTTTCTCTTCCTCTGCAGAAGGGCGGGAAACAAAGCTGGGCATCCTGAGACATCCCATTCTGGGAGGCGACTCAGGTTTCCCTCAGTGAGGGAGGAAGCCTTTGGAAACTGCCTTTTTATTTACATTCATCATCAATATAATCCATGGATGTCAAACCGCCAGCCCATGGGCCAGACACATCATGCAGAAGCCGTGCCCACCCCATTGCTGGCAATGGCAAAACAGTCCCGATATGTCACGTGCGACGTCACATGACGTCGCGAGTTTGACATGTCTGTTGTAATCGATCCCTTTATTTTTCCAAAAAATGATTTGCATTTACTATGATTAGCTTCCTTGATCGCCAATGGGAAAGTGTGGTGTGAATTCTGTGCATGAGCCACGGAAACATAGACACATGCACTCTCAAAGCTTCTGCCGCTTCCTCGCTCGGGGCGCACCACTGCTTTATGTGAGCGTTCAACTTTGTGGCTCAGCTAAACTCTTCAGCTGCGGCAGACCGCAGTTCCCATGAGCTTCGGGAAGCCTGCAGCCTGCTGCAGCTTAACAGTTTAGCTAAGCTACAAAGTTGAATGCTCACGTAAAGCAGTGGTGCGTCCCAAGCGAGGAAGTGGCGTGAGCTTTGAGAGTGCGTGTGTCTGTATTTCCCCGGCTCATGCACAGAATTCACACTGCGCCTTCCCATTGGCGATCAAGGAGGCTAATTGTGGTAAATACAAAACATTTTTTTTTAAAAAAAAATAAAGGAACAGATTACAATATTGATGATGAATGTAAATGAAAAGGCAGTTTCCAAAGCCTTCCTCCCCCACCGAGGGAAACCTGAGTCAACCAATGGGGCGGGATTCCGGCCGGGTTGGGCCTTGTGGTGAAAAAAATAAGACACCCTCCAAAAATAAGCTCTAATGGGTCTTTTGGACCAAAAATAAATATAAGACCTGGGCTTATTTTCGGGAAACACGGTAGCTAATTAGTGCCATTTTCATTTTTAGAGCATGCTTTCTTTTGATCTTATGCTGCAGGTATGTACAAATTCCACTGTTTTAAAGGAGTTAAAGTTCGTTAGGAAAGTTATTTTAGAAAACAAAAATAGTAAGAATGAAGCATGATCACTAAGGCATGAAGAAATTACTACTGTTTTAGTGAAAGAAAAGGAAAAACAAATATTATGTAACACTCACCTACGTACTAACTAAAGCACTGATTGATGATTTATTCAGAAGATACCACGGGAGGTGAAGTGAACTATAAAGCCAGAAGAATAGCTTATTGGGTTAGTGTGTTAATCGAAGCAGACGTGACTACAGAAAAGCATATTTATTTCTAGCTATGGCTATTGGTCAAGACAAATACTATTCTTGACATTAAGCGCAGTATGTCTATGTTCTGCATAACATCCAGCATACTGCTGAAGTTAATTCCAGGCAATTAAAGATACTTAATTTCAAAGGCAGTTTTGTGTAACACACTAGTGTTGCATTTAAATCTGCACAACCTTTCTAAATAAGAATACCTAACAGTGATTTTGATCTCTCAGTTGTGCTCTGATAAGTCTGCTATTATACAAATGAGATCATAAAATAAAAGTTTTGCTTTTTCCAAATAAATAATCCCATTTTGGATTATTTCAAAATGAAATGTTGCATCCAATATTGTACTCCTACTAACTCATCTAACACATTCAAATGGAAAATTAAAAAAGATGAAGACCTAAATGGTCCACAAATGTTTGGAATAGAAAGGAAATCCCAGGATTATTAGTGTGGAAGTGAGAAAACGGGCTGTAGAATAAATTGGGAAGTTGAAACATATCTATGAAGAAACAGTGGCAAATGACTTCTATACAATTGTCAGATAACTTAATAGCTATGTCCACAAATGTTTTAACAGTCAATGTTTTTAATGGTCTAACTGTTTTGTATTCTTATTTTATGATTCTGTAAGCCACCCAGAGTTGCTTGATAGTGAGATAGGGAAATTTAATAAATAAATGAATAAATAAAGTTAACAGAGAATACAACTCATAGAATACTTCCTCTTTTTTAAATAGACATCAATATGTCAAGATCTGATTTGACCTCTGCAGTTGACAAACACCTATTCTTTTGTGCAAAATAAGAAAACTATATCATTCATTTCAGTTTGTTCAGTATAAAAATAAGAAAATATGGAAGACATGGAATTAAATATAAATTGTTCATTTAGCACAAATTTTCATAAAATTTCTTTTTCCCAATTTTACTGGATTTCGTCACATTTAGGTTGTGTAGATTTCCTCAGACTCCCTGTTTAATTGTGAGACAGGCATATCAAATACATATATACTGATATAGACATCACATATTTTTATCAACATATTCACTAAAAATATTATACGTTAATGTCTGTTATATTTGTCACTTCTATAACAGGAAAATTCCAATACTGTCCAAATTGTTAATATACTCCTTTATTTATGACCTGTTGCTTAATGACCATTGGAAGTTATAATAGACTTTTAAAAGCTACTTATGGTCTGTCCACGGTTATAATTAACTGCATCTTTTTGCCCGTCAAGTGATAATATGTTGGTTGCTTGGCAACCTACTCACATTTATACCCAGTTGCAGCATTCTGTTGTCATATGACCATGATTTGCAACCATTTTTGCCTGTTTCTGGCATTTTTTTCTTGTTTTCCAGCAAAAAAATTCCCATTGAATATGCTGGATTCACTTAACAGCATCTGTTTTGCTTAATAACTGTGGTAACTCACTTTATAACTGTTGCAAAAACTATCATAAAATCATGATCAGTTACATAGTGTGGCTGCTTGTTGATAATAACTTAAGATCAAAATTCTGGGTTTGCTATGGTAGTAAATTGAGAACTACCTGTGCTCTAAATCCTCTTATCAATCCTTACCAATGTTCGAGCATTTTCTCGTTCTAAGATCTTCTGAGTTTGATCAGGAGGAAATTTCAGCACTGAAGTTATAACCTTTGCCATTGTCTAAAACGTGAACAAAGGAAATAGTGTTCAAACACCCAAGTCTATTTCTTTATGAAATGTTATATATTAAGTCTTAGTAATACTAATGGAAGCATGGTAAAAAAAAAAATAGAAGCATGTATTTGTTTCTTATTCCATGATAATTTGTAATCTAATTTTTGTGGTCACATGAATCAAAGGAATGATATTTACTTATTAAGACTAAACAATTCAAACTACACATTCCATACTGAAACTCAGTGAAAAGAATTGTTGGGGGTCAAGAAGACAGAATAATTTATAGACAATGCATCTTCTCTTCTACTAAATTAAAAAAATAGAAATTTAATCACTTAAAAGAAGATGTTCAGCCTAAATTTATGCATATATCGTTCAAAATATTCCATTCCACAATCCTGGAATTACCTCTCAAATTAGTACCGTATATGCCGACGTATTAGGCGACCCGGCGTATAAGACGACCCCCATCTTTATAGCCGGGCCGCATTCCTAGAACGTCGTCTTATACGCTGGAAACTACCAGTATTTCCGGCGTATAAGATGACTCGGCGTATAAGACGACCCCCGTCTTTGGCGCCGATTTCAGCGCTCGCAGAAGTCGTCTTATACGCCGGCATTTACGGTATAGGTTTTCAGCCACATTTTGCTGGATTATGTTCAGTAATATTGTCCTATAAATGTTCATATTTATAGTGGTATATGATCTGTTATTTTATCTATTGTACTGATTCAGTGTTGCCTGACAACATAAAGTATGAAGGTCTTAGATTGGAGAAATCAAAGTAGGTTTTTTTGGAAGATTGTATCAAGATTAGAGATTCTAGTTTGCATAAATTGGTATAAACATGTTTGGGATAAAACCCAGCTTACAGTATACTGGTTTAAATATATGCAGACAAATTTGTTCAACACCTGATAAACAAAATCACTCAGATTCATTCATTCATTCAGACAGACAGATAGTTGGAACCTGTCTGTGCTGCAGGGCCATGTGAGATGCTTGGGGAAAGATCTTGCCCAATTATCTGGGAACTATTTGATCCTGTTGATCTATTGAAGTAGACATGACTCTCAACGTTATCAGTGCAATCACCTGTCAATTAGATCCCTTTCCCGTTTTGGTTTGTAAAAGCTGCTAGGATGGTAACAGCCAGGTGGGCTCAGGGAGTGATAAATTCTTCACTGCAGGATGAGGCGTTCCTGGAATCTTTTAAGGAGGTCCTGATTTGTCCCATCCTCCAAAAACCATTGCTTGAATAATTTTCATCCATTTTTCCATCTCTCCTTTATAGTGGTGCTAGAAAATTGCTTAGCAGCTCTAGAGGGTCCTGGATGAAACGGATTATGTGAACCCTTCCAGTCAGGAGTTATGAGACAGAAACAGTATTAGGTTCATTTGTTGATGCTGAAAGCAGGATAGAAATAGTGCAACTATCCTTGCCCACTTTGCCCTGTCAGCAGCCTTTGATATCATTGACCATGATATCCTTTTGGACTGGCTACAGAATCTGGGGCTAGGTGGTGCAATTTTGTGCTGTTTTGGCTCCTTTCTCCAAAGCCAACCCCAATAGATCTTGATAGGGAATGAGAGATCCAGCCACAATTGCTCCTTTATAGCATGCTGCAGGGCTTCATACTTTCTCCATTCTTTTTTAACAGAAGAGATGGACAGCAAGTAAATCAAATAAACAAATAAATATTGTCAAAGACAGTAGGTTTATAGCATGTGATATAAGCACATCTAAGGCTTTTTGTCTATTAAAAGTATTGTGTGAAAGCCTTAGATAATCAAAACCATGTTGGGTGAAGGAAAGTCTAAGAGTCCACTTAGTAATGAATCTGGCAAATTTGGAATGTAAGGGAAAGGATATAAGAATAAAACAAGCATAGTGTTTTGACAATTTCTTTGATTGAGTTCTCTTTATTTGATTTGTGTAGAGAACAGATCATTGTTATATAGAAATATTAAAAATTCACAAACTTTTAAACTTAAGGTAATCTGATGTGGAGTGGACTTGATAAAATCAAGTGTGTTATTGAACATATAAGTCAAATAATGGATGATATGACTAAAGTAAATGACACAATGCATGGATCTTTGTACATTTGTCAAATGCATGTTAACTTTCCTCATAAAATGGTAATGGAAAGAACTATTGGAAATTAAGAACACTTACCAAGAAATAACTCAATTTAGAGAAATATAGCTGTCAAGATTTTTGAAATTAATAATAAAAGTCTACCAACTATACACTTTTGCTTTACTTAGGAAGAATATAGTTTCTTGCTATTTTAATTGTTGATTCCTTTAAACATGAAAGCAAAGTTAGCATGGTCAGTTCTACATGCAACAAACACACAATAGCCCTACAAGTTATTCTTCAAATGGTGTCTTGAGAAAGAAAGCCCAGTATTCTTTCTCGTCCATGTTAATCAGGAATGCCCATGCCAGTTTTAATCAGGGTCTAGGTGAAGAAATAGATTGGAAACACCCCATAGCATATGAATTCTATTAATATAGAGCTCCTGTGACAAAGTACTCACTGGTCCAAGAAACCTATCCTGAATAAAAGTGTATTTCCTAAAACAAGTATGTACAGAAGCTTAAGGATGACGATAGGCTTTATACCTTTTTCTTTCTTCAATTGGCACATCTTTTGAAGCTGTTCTTAAATGAGGGCAGTTTTACTTTAAACATAGTAATAAAAATATCCCTTGATTATTAGGATATGTTGTTCCTTGGGCTGCCCTTAAGCATTGATTCAAAGTTATGGCTACTATAACAATGAAGCCATGGTTTATAGCTTCCGTTCAAGGTATCTGCATAGAGGCTGGGGTGAGGAATGATCACACATATCTGATGATATTGCACAAATACAGTAACTTGTATACTTCTTACCTCATGCAAATACTGTGGTTTATTATATAATAATAAATAATTTAATATAAATAATTTAGTATAAATAATTTACATGTAAGTATGTAATTGTAGCATTTGTGTGATGTCACCCCCTATGTCAGTTTGATATCACTGTAGTTTCTTGCAAATGCCACTGCACTGAAACTACTGCCTCACTTGATGGAATTGCAATGACTACTAGGCCAGGTTTAAGATTCTGCTATCTTAACTTCTTAGTTTTACAGCTTTTATAAGTTTTATATAGTAATTAATACATTAGAAGAAAAATAACAGCCGAAGCTGCAGTCAGCTGCAAGAAATAATTTTACTAATTTGGAGCCAAATGTCTAAAGAATTAATCTGAAATAATTAGAATTGGAAATATGAAACTGATCAATCTACTAACTAATTCCTATAACCTAGTCTAAACTGTGGAGCCAAAACAATTGCGTCCTACTGAGCTGAGATTAAGTCAAAAACTGGGAAGGTCAACCCAGAAGGAGGCGTGGCTAAAATTCTGACTTAGTCTTAACTGAGCAGGAAGGCTGAGATAACCCACCGGTTGATTCTACACTCATCATGCTGGAGAATGAACTAAGGCTTGCAACCAAAGTCAAAAATAACAAAAAAAACCCCTTCTTTCAACATGTAAAAAACAAGAAAAAAGTGAAGAAAATGATTGGCCCATTAGTGGGAGAAAGTGGCAAGAAGGTGACAAGCAACAGGGACAAAGCAGAACTATTTAACTCGTTTTTTGCATCTGTTTTCACACAAAGGGAAAAAATAGACGAACCTATAAAAACTAGTGCCATAATAAATAGAATAGAAACACAAGTTAAGATAGGCAAAAAAAATGATAAGTGAGTACCTATCCAGCCTAGACGACTTCAAATCACCAGGACCAGATGGATTACACCCCAAGGTTCTTAAGGAACTGGTAGATGTGATCTCAGAACCACTGAACTATATTTTTCAAAGATCCTGGAGCACTGGACTGGAAAAGAGGATTGGAAAAGAGCTGATGTAGTTCCTATCTTCAAAAAAGGGGGAAAAATGGATCCAGGAAATTACAGACCTATCAGCCTGACCTCAATACTTGGGAAGATTCTGGAAAAGATAATCAAACAACGAATCAGCGAACACCTAGAGGCAAACAAAGTCATTACTAAAAGCCAACATGAGTTTGTCAAAAACAGATATGCCAGACAAATCTTATTGCATTCTTTGACCAAATGACAAAATTAGTGGATCAGAGGATACTGTGGATATAATTTACTTGGACTTCAGTAAGGCATTTGATAAAGTAGATCACATTTATTACTTGACAAGATAGAAAAATGTGGGTTAGACAGCATCACCAACAGATGGATTCGTAGCTAGCTGATCAGCCATACTCAGCATGTGGTCTTCAATGGAACTGCATCCACATGGAGGGAAGTGTGTAGTGTGGTGCCCCAGGGCTCTGTTCTACGCCCAGTACTCTTCAACATCTTCATCAATGATTTAGACGAGGAGATAGATGGGGAACTCATCAAATTTGCAGACGACACCAAGCTGGCAGGAATAGCCAACATTCCAGAAGATAGGCTTAAGATACAAGAGGATGTGCACAGACTTGAACATTGGGCGCTATCCAACAAAATGAAATTCAATGGTTAAAAAAGTAAGGTTCAACATTTAGGCAAAAAAACCCAAATGTACAGGTATAGTATAGGGGATGCCTTGCTCAATAGTAGTAACTGTGAGAAGGATCTCGGAGTCCTAGTGGACAATCACTTAAATATGAGCCAGCAGTGTGCTGCAACTGCCAAAAAAGCCAACACAGTGCTAGGCTACATTAACAGAGGAATAGAATCAAGATCACGTAAAGTATTAATATCACTTTACAATGCCTTGGTAAGGCCACACTTGGAATACTGCATCCAGTTTTGGTCACCACGGTGTAAAAAAGATGTTGAGACTCTAGAAACAGTACAGAGAAGAGCAACAAAGATGATTAGGGGACTGGAGGCTAAACATATAAGGAACCGTTGCTGGAATTGGGTATGTCTAGTTTAACGAAGAGAAGGACGAGGGGGGACATGATAGCAGTGTTCCAATATCTCAGGGGCTGCCACAAAGAAGAGGCAGTCAAGCTATTTTCCAAAGCGCCTGAAGTCAGGACAAGAAGCAACGGGTGGAAACTAACTAAAGAGAGAAGCAACCTAGAACTAAGGAGAAACTTCCTGACAGTTAGAACAATTAACCAGTGGAACAACCTGCCTCCAGAAGCGGTGAACGCTCCAACACTGGAAGTTTTTAAGAAGAGACTGGACAGCCATTTGTCCGAAATGGTATAGGGTTTCATGCCTGAGCAGAGGGTTGGACTAGATGACCTCCAAGGGACCTTCCAACTTTTATTATTATTATTATATCGATCATCGCACAGTCAGCCAGATGTTCAGACTGGATTTGGCATTTTGTCTACCTATCGAGTCCTTGCCAAGGACCTGAGATAGGCAGATGTGGATGTTTGATGGTATTACAGATATGAATGGAAGCAGTTCCTAGTAAGACTGCCTTTTGCAATTGACTAATAGCGAATTTGTCAATGCCAACGGTGTTCAAGTGGTGCTCCAGTAGTTTTGGGATTGCACCCAAGGCACCTATTACTATTGGTACTACCCTTGCTTGCTTTTGCCACAGTCTTTCTATTTCTATTTGTAGGTCTTTGTATTTTGTTATCTTCTCCAGTTCTTTCTTGTCTATTCCGCTGTCTCCAGGTACTGCCACGTCCACTATCCAGACTTTTTTGTCTTTCTTATCGACAATTGTTAAGTCCAGGGTGTTATGTTGCAGGTGCTTGTCTGTTTGAATTCTGAAGTAGTAGTAGTAGTAGTAGTAGTAGTAGTAGTAGTAGTAGTAGTAGTATAATATAATGTTGTAGACTGCTTAAATAAATAATTTTGTCAAAAGCTGCCAAAAATCATTGGGTAGACCAGACATGTCAAACACAAGGCCCGGGGGCTGGATGCGGCCCGCAAAGTGGTTTCATGTGGCCCGTGAAACCATCCTGGAAAAAGTGAGAGAACAGCCCCCACTGCCTTGGCCCTGACCCAGGCCGGCCGGGAGCCAATGTACAATTTTGTGGTGGCCATCTATACTGAAACACATTCAGTCGTAGCTCCACAAGGCTGTCTAGAAACAGCGAGGAACCAGCCCCTGCTGTTGGCCCTGCCCTCTGGTTGCATGGTAGGGAGGTGTCACCCTTTGTGAGGAATGAAGAAATGGACCATGCCTTGGTGCTTGCCCCAGTCCCACCCCCTTCTGCCAGAGACCTTCAGATTTGTCCCACTCCTGCCCAGGGCCCCACAGGCACCCTTGATGCGAATGATGTAGAGCTGGCCATGCCCATCCAGTAGGCCATACCCACTCCATCCACGCCCACCCAGTAGGCCGCACACACCCTGGCCACATCCACCTGGCCCCCCGAGGGCAACCGCAATGCTGATGCGGCCCTCAGTGAAATTGAGTTTGACACCTCTGGGGTAGACCATTTATTTCCTTCCTAAGGCTTGTTTGAAAGTTCAATCTGCCCATCATTCTTCCTCTGTTCAAGTACCGTATTTTCCGGCGTATAAGACGACTGGGCGTATAAGACGACCCCCAACTTTTCCAGTTAAAATATAGAGTTTGGGCTATACTCAACGTATAAGACTACCCCTCTTCCAACACACACCAAATAAAAATTAAAAAACATCAGATTTGATTTCAATATGGTAATTTTAATTCAAATGCTTATGACATGCAGGTACTTAGCAGAAAAACTGTCATTTATAAACATAAGGCTGTCATCAAACATATAAACATAAAACAGTGCAAGTGGATTAAACTTTTCCTAATTCACTCTAAAGCTGAAAGGAAGGATAAGACAATAAAACCATGGGAGCTGCCATGCTGTTTGTTTTCTAAGCCGTCAACCAAACTGAACTGATGATGATAGGAGCACACACACACATGCCTCCTTTCCCTCTTCCCTCCAATCCTTCCCAGCTCAGAAAGCAGCGAGGAGAAGCGTGTGCGCGCGCACACACACACACACACACACACACACACACACACACACACACACACACACTCGCCTCCTTTCCCTCTTCCCTCTCCCTCCAATCCTTCCCCCCCACCCTGATTTCCAGCTCAGAAAGTGCAAAGCAGCAAGGAGAAGTGTGTGTGTGTGTGTGTGCGCGTGCACACCAGACTGCCAGAGACACTTAGGGGCAGGGAGCACAATGAGAGACAGCAAGGGAAAGAGGAACTTGCCTTACTGTTTCCTGGAATGCCATGGAGAGAATGGCACGTCAAGCGGAGGGGGGGGGGTGACGCCTCTGCTAATTGCTTTTATTCACCACAGGCTGGATGCTGGTTTGCCGGGTGGGGGGGGTGGGAACAGCAAGTGGGAGCCTATGTAAAGCACTGGGAGCAACTCACTCCCAGTGCTAACTTTGTTGCTGTATGGATTAAAGGCCATTCGCTTGTCATTCGTTCCTGTTTGTCGGCTCTTTTCTGGGCACCGAAGAGGACGCGCTGACAGATATTTCAGTAGTTGCTTGTTGTAATTTTTAACTTATTTAAACCTTGCTGATTTCTGTACAAAATGATTCACCTGCTGAAGCATGCATATCTGCATTGGCTATTCATGGCACATTAATGAAAATTAAGGAGTGAGATAAGGAAAAAGTAATTTTTGTGCAGTACTGTAAAAATGGCTATTGATTTCCAGTAAGCACGCACGCACGCACGCCTCCTTTCTCCCTCCAATCCTCCCTTCCCACCCCGATTTCCAGCTCGGAAAATGCAAAGCGTGTGTGTGTGTGTGTGTGTGTGTGCGTGCGTGGGCGTGGCCTCCTTTCCCTCTTCCTCCAGTCCTTCCCAGCTCAGAAAGCAGCGAGGAGAAGCGCGCGCACACGCACACACACACACACACACACACACACACCCTCCTTTCCCTCCTCCCTCTCCCTCCAATCCTTCCCTCCCACCCTGATCTCCAGCTCAGAAAGTGCGAAGCAGCGAGGAGACAGATTGAGACCCCCAGGCATTTATCAGCCTGTGACTTCAAGTTAGCAAAAAGCAGCTGCAAACCACACGCCTGCTAGAGGTGAGCCGCGGGGACGGATTGCTGAAACAAACAGCTTAGAGTTTAATTGCTCTTCCCACTGCCACTCTACCAATCAAGGACTCTTTTTGAGTGAGGGGGGGAGAGAAAACTTGATGAGTAATATACCAAACCACATGTGTAAAGGAATAAAATAGAATACCCGTATTTTCCGGCGTATAAGACGACCCCCAACTTTTAAGAAGGTTTTTGTGTCTTAGAAAGTCGTCTTATACGCCGGAAAATACGGTATGTCATTTCTGGCCTCCTCTTCTGATGGCATCATAATATTGCAACCATTCTCAGAAGTATTGGCATCATCACTCAGGAGCTCTTAAATATGAAGAATACCTTTGTTTCACGGCCCATCATATATTCGAAAACCACCTTCCTCAAGTATTCAAACTCAGTTGGTTCACCAAAAAGAGAAACATCTGAATGGCAAAGATTCCCATCTGCATAGAAGAAAAGTGGGACTTTATACTGATCTCTGTTACTGCAAGCTTATAGAAAAATTATAGAAATTACTTTAGTAATTTTTTTACAAAATATTTTGAATTTGTACTTTTGAATCCAGGAAGGCTCTAATTTACTATCTTTATCCATCATAAGCATCCACAGAATATTTCAATCTTGGCATATAGCACTTTTTTTACTTTATTAACAGGTAGATTCTAACCATTTATACCTATACACTCTTTGCACTTAGCACACATTTCAAGTAATTAATAGAAGAGCTTACTTCAAATATTTGAATAATGTTAAAATAAAACATCTTCCTTAGATATAAGGTCTATATCAGGCCTAAAAGTTTGGGGGACAGCAAACGAAACAGATTCTTCTTCATAAATTAACTTCTAACTTCTGCTGTATAAAATTAGGGGAGCAGGCAGACTCCCCATACAAGCTTTCTACGTCTATTCTTTGCCATGCTACCATAAAAACAAATTTATTATTCATGCTTTTTAACAGAGATTGCTTGAAAACAGTCACATTTCAATTTTATCTAATCTCGTAACTGCAAGAATTATATTATGAAATGTTGTCTAGTAGTTAAAGGAAATATATTATTTCTGATACTGTTCTAATGCTTTTATATAACTAGGCTCTCACTATCAGGCATGTTCATATTACATTAATTACATTAATTTTAAATTAATATGTTAATTTTTCAAGAAAGATAAAATTGAAGTCATAATTTAAAAGCACAAGTACACATTTAATAACATGAGATCTGTAATATTAAAATTTGTATTAATTTCCTTTATTTGAGTGCATGAAATTTAAATGGCAGAAAACATTCCCTTATATAACCCAGTGTTAGTAAGGAGCAAGATGTCCAGCCTTTGACCACTCCTTTGTGGGTGCCAAAAGGCACAGTACTTTCTCTGCTCTTTTTTAACATATACATGAAATTGCTGGGTGAGATTATCTGACACCCTGAGATAAGATATGATCTGTATTCTGATGACATACAGCTTTATATCTCCATCTCTGGTGATCCAAGCGATGCTGTGACTGTCCTTTCTTAGTGCCTGGAGGCTGTAAGGGTCTGGGTGGGGGAATAACAAGCTTCAATTGAACCTTGACAAGATGGAATGGCTCTGGGTGCAAAGGACCTCTGGATCTGGTGGTTTATCATCATTATTTCAGAATGAGGTTGCATTACCCCAGATAGATCTTGGGGCCTTCTTGAAGACCAGATGGTAGTCATAGCTAGGAGAACCTTTGCGGAACTTCACATTATGCACCAATGCTCTTACCTTGGATCCTGAGGCCCTGTACATGGTCACTCATGCCCCAGTTATCTCTCAGCGGGATTACTGCAACATGCTCTACATAGGGCTACCTTGGAAGAATATATGGAAGCTAAAGCTGGTGCAGAATGCACCATTACTGCACGAGCTGCACTACTTACCAGTTTGCTTCCGGATCCAATTCAAAATGTTAAGACATTATCTTTAAAGCCATACATGGCATAAGTCCAAGGTATCTGAAGAGAGATCTCTCTCTGATGGGACAAGTCTCCCTCACTCACGTAGCAGAAGAGGCTTACTACAGATCTCATCTGCTAAGGAATTGAAGCAGATGGATCAAAGAAAAGACCCTTTTCTGCTGTGGTCCTATTCCTGCAGAAAATTCTTCCACAGGAGGTAATAACTGCCCCCTCCATTTGGCCTTCTCGAAGGGTATAAAAACATGGCTTTGCTGGTTGGCCTGGACCCAGATGAAGGCACTTCTTTTGGTTCCTGAAGGTGTGGGTTTAGTGCAGTTTTACATAAATGTGTTAGTAACAATCCCAGTATTTTCTCAAACAAGGAATGTACATACATTAACTACATACAAAATATTAATGAAAATAGGTTTCTGCTCTTAAAGAGATCAGATTTCTATGTATATTTACAGACGTCAGAAATCTATGACAACTATTTGCAATATTTCTACAAATTTTTTAAACTACTAAATGTAAGTTACTAAGTTTCTTTAGTATCTTTTGGTATATACATATTTTGGGGATTCTATAAAAAAAAACCTACTGTAAAATTACTGACCAAAAAGGCAAAAAAAATGTGTATTATTATTACAAATGCTTAAATGGCTTTCTGCTATTGAAACAGAAAATCTATATATAAATTACCTGTTTCATAAATAATCTACTATTTTAACAATATTCTAATCATTTATTCTCAGTTTAATTCTCAGATAATCGTGCATAGAATTTCAATCTGAATTACGCTTCCAAATATTTCCTTAAATTTTATATTCTATTTTTCAGTGTCAAGACAATTACTCACCTCTATAAGGTGTTTTAACTGTTGTGACATACACAGCCTTCTCATAATTTTTCAACTTATCTTGTAGTATGTGAATCTAAAAATAGAGTGAGTCAGGAAGTACAATAATCATTAACCAAGATTAATGATCTTGGTTTAGAATAAGAATGATAAGTTATGGAATGCTGGAAACCTTAAAAACAACCACAGCAGTATTCCTTAATATTAAAATAGTGGATATTAAAAATATACATATCCATGCCTTTCAAATCTGCTATAATGCCAATTGCATTACTTATGCTAATTTGTACTAGAAAAGGTGGAAGCATTACTTCATCAAAGTTGGTTGCACATATTTAATTAAAAGCAGTGAATTGTAATTTTGAAAAAAAAAATAAAAAGAATAGTATTCTTTCTTCACAAGTAGAATTTATATTCCAAACATGAAAATTTGTGATCTGAACTTGATTTTAATGGAGTTAATAACTAGAATTTGAAGGCTGCAGAGGAAAGCAACAGAAAGGGGAGGGGGTAAGAAAATCATCAGTATTATGTAGCATTTGATCAAACTTTCAAATTATCGTGTATGAATTTTAGAGCTAAAACTAAATTTATCTCTTTTCTCCCAAAAGTAGTTTCTTACCTGTTCTCTGAACTCCTGTTCTTTCAATTTTGAATCATTAACAAGTGTTGTCTTCTGGGCTAGCTGAGCCTGGAATACAACACAGACACATTCTTTAGGAAAACATGCACATGAAAATTTTAACAGCAAAATTTAATCTTCTTGTTATTTATTACTATTGTAAGTATTAGAGGAAAATGCTTAACTGACTTGCTACATTAAAAATGAATAACAACAACAACAATAATAATAAAGTTGGGAGGGACCTTGGAGGTCATCTGGTCCAACCCCCTGCTCAGGCAGGAAACCCTATACCATTTCAGACAAATGGCCGTCCAGTCTCTTCTTACCTGAAGTTCTGCTATGTTTTCCTAGGGAGGACCAAAAGACAAAATTTATTAAACATTTTTTTCTGTTTAATACAACAGAAAATATTGCACAAATATCTTGCACCCACATTTATGCCATTTCTTTCATAAGGTGGTTAGTATTTAATATCTTATGTCAAGAACATATAGAAAAGCAATACTAATATTGTCTGATCCCATGCTTTTAGCAGTTTTACTTCTGAAAAATCATTTATGTGAAATTATGAACCCAGCATATAGCGGGGACCAACACTTTGATGCTTTTTCATTGTATAAATTGTAGTTCCACTGAATACCCAATTTCAAATTTTATAATATAAATTAACTGTAATTTCATATTTACAGTATATGAAATATAATTTAATATTTCATCTGCAATTTCTTGCTAAAATCTAAAAAATATTTGTGGCACATCTGAAAATTAACTTTCTCTCATATCTATAAAATATATAAAAACCTGTTAAAAATTTGCAAGATTTTTTTGTAATGATATAAGTGGTCAGGATGCAAAATCTGACTTCCGTATTGTCTCAGAAAAAACACAATGCTATAACAATGAAGGAGTAGTAGATACTGTTTTTTAATACTTCTTCTTAGCATAAATTTATTTTGTAATAGATGAAGCTGTAGTTTAATGGATGAAGCTGTTTATTATTACTTGGAAGAACAAGAATGAGGGAGTGTTAATATCCATAGTTAAAGTTAGTACCCATAAAATCAAGATTTGAGTAACTGTTCCTATTAATATAAAGGGAAAGTAAATTAAATAACTTAATCTTCTTCAAACTCTAGCATACAACACTAATCTTCTTCAAACTTCCTGCATATAACAGTAGGCAACTAAAGATAGTTCTGTTTCTGAGATATTGAAACAATAAACAAAAATAGAAGTGAAGCTTCTGACCTGTTTTACTATCATTATGCCAAGGATGACAAATAATAGGTATGACTAGAGTTAAATGAGGCAGTGTTAATATTGTTTGATTTCAATACATGTAATATAACTGCTATGTCAGCATTGGCTGCCAGTGTACTTCTAGATGCAATTCAAGGTGCTGGTTATCACCTTTAAAGTCCTTCATAGACTGGGGCTAGAATCTCTTTCCAGTTGTTTCCACCCATCCAACTCAATCTGCCAGGTTGGGTGTGTTACAGGTCTCTCAGCCAAAAAATAATGGCTGGCAGTGACTAGGAGATGTGCCTTCTCTGTAGCATCTGCCTTCTGGAACATTTGCCGTCAGACGTCAGGATGACCTGGCCTTTCATAAGGCCATGAATTTGGTTGCGTGCCCAGACATGGACACTTGAGTGTGCTAAGGGCCTCATTTCTTGGTTATATTAATATCCATGGTAATAGTCTACTCAGCAACTATATATATTTATTTTGTGTTCTTTTAATTCTTTTCAATTTGTTTTTGCATTTTTATGACATCCAGAGTCACTTGCTGAGATGGCAAATATAGCAATCAAACCAACCAACCAATCAACCAACAAAAAAATTATAATGAGCAAACTGTGATGAATGAGGCTACAATAAAACCAAATATAAAAACATAAAGCAAAATTAGGAACCCCAATATGTTTACCAACTTACTTCATCACCATTCCGACTTTCTTCATATGCCAATCTTTTTTTGTAGTCCTCTTTTAAATGCACCAGCTGTTCCTCTAATTTATTTACTTTTTTGGTCATTTCTTCTTCTCTGGCCTTCGGAATAAATATTAATAAATCCATCATGTATATCTTGTTACAATACAGTATAGTGAAATTTGGCTTCCAATCAGCTTCAATATTAAATGTTCTATTGATTTGTTATTGTTTTAACAGAAGTTTATTGTATTTTTAATATCTTATCATTTAAATACTATTTCAAATTTTAGAAAATCTTTGATGAACACATTTAAAAAGCCATTTAAAACATCTATATTCTACACCAGGAATCCATATTCTACACTAGGACTAACTTTCATTTATCATTTATTAAAATGAATACTAGGCATACTATGATTTGAATTACTATGTCATCACCTTAAATCAATAAAATGTGTTCTTATTTATTTATTTATGCATCCACAATTTAGCAATATTGTTGAATATCACTAGAGCTAAATGTTAGAGCAAATGAAAGATTACACACTGCAGTGGCTTTTCGGATATAACATGTTTCATTCTAGTGAAATGCCATTATGTCAAGAATTTCATAGTGTAAAAAGTTATGAAAGAGCTATAAAAGAAAGGCAGAAGTACAAACATATTACACATATGCACATAAAACATATACAAACATACACAGAGGGATAAAAAAATTCATTTGTCATTCCTATGAAGTTTAATTCGAAAACTTCCATTTCACATTAATCCAAAGCACGATTCTTGGAAGGTACTGTAATATAGTGTAGGGCAGTGCAGTACAGTACAGTATAAAATAGAATAAAAATACTCTCTCTCAACCCAACTCCCAGGGTATTTGTTGTGTGCAAAATAGGAGGAGGAAAATATGTTGAATATGTTTGCTGTCTCGAATTATTTATAAAAATAATAAAGGCAGGGTTAAAAAACTAGTCGAAGCTTAAATAATATCATAAAAACAAGAGATACTTTAAAGCAGACATGTCACATGATGTCACGCGACGTATCAGAGCTTTTTCTCCATTGCTGGCAATGGAGTGGGTGCGGTTTTGGGATGACGTATCTGGCACGCGGGCCGGCAGTTTGACACCCCTGCTTTAAAGGTATTTTGGCTTCAAAACACACATAATAATGTGTTAAAGCAAAAATGTTTTGTCAAACATACAATTGTCAAAATGAAGGAAGAATAGTACTTGGTTATGGTATTATCTAATTTATATTCAATAAACTGATTTAATGTAATGTGAAACAAAAAGTGGACCAGTAAGGCTAAAAGCCAAAACATTTGCAAAACTATATAGAACATACCATATTCTCTCAACTTTACTTTATTTATTTATTTATTTATTTATTTATTTATGAGATTTAGGTGCAAGCACTCTCTAAGCGGTGTACACCAGTAAGCAATGTGTATATATATATATTTACATTGCCCCCAACAATCTGGGTTCTCATTTACCTATCCCGGAAGGATGGAAGCTGAGTCAACCTTGAGCTGGTGAGATTTGAACCGCTGACCTTCTGAACACAGTCAGCTAAAGTGGCCTGCAGTTCTGCACTCTAACTGCTGCGCCATCTCGGCTCTTTTTTAATCCAATGTAGCAGTGATTCCAATAATTCATGTAGTCATAGGTACTGAATTTTGGCAATCACATTGCAAATGTTCAATTAAGCTACAAATATATACTGCATTCTTATAGTTATGCACACGAGCAGCAGTACAGAAATATATTTTCTTACTCTATTTAAGAGAGCACTATTTAAATTCTTGTTCCTTTTCTGGAAGATATGGCCTTAACATCTCTAAGGCGGTAGTAATTTATCTTTCAGTCTTTATTGGATATAATCTGTTATTTCTGTTGATATAACTGATGCAATACTAAGTGAATTCACAGCTATATCTCAAAGCTATATCCAAAAGAAAGCATTTTGCTTTTTTGCAAACCAAGTGCTCTCTGCTTTCAACAGTATATCTCACATGATGCCATAGTTGGATTTTAAAGTTTGCTGAACCAAACTTCCACTATAGGCCTATTGTTTCTGAGCAAGACTGCTATTTGTGAGCCACACTGTCTTCCTAATTCCACTCAAAACTTTTAAAGCCTTAAAGCATTTGGACTTGGTTACCAGGTATTGCCTCCCCTCTAAATCTGCAGATATCAAAATCAAATTTCTCCTTCAAAGAAATAGTATAATATTAATATCTAATCAGGGGCATGATTTTACTTTCATAAAAATTATTGAGCAATACCTTTACTGCATATTGAATTTAAAAATTGCTTTCTACAATTTTGTCACAAAGATTGAAAGTAATATTCAGGATTTTACTCATAAAGATCTATGTGGGGTTTGAATATTCTGGAATGTTTGGAGCCAAAGAATGAAAACTAAGCTGTATTGGTATTCTTAAATGAAGAGAAATCCTTCGACAATTTGAACTGGATTATTTTTTTAAGAGTTCTTGAACATATGAAACTTTGAGTTAAATTTATTAAGTGTGTAAAATCTATTTTTACTCTCAGAGAGAACAAATTGTTAATGAAGAACTAATTACAACCTTGTGAGATTCAAAAAGAGGCAAGGCAAGGATTGTCTCCAAATTTATTTATTTTGGTTATTGAGATATTGAAATAAAGATATAAATCAAGATCAGAAAATCAAAGAAGAGAAGATTGAACAAGAATCTTAAAAAGCAATTGCAGATGACGTGTTAATTTTAGAAGATCCACTAGAGGGAGCAGGAGCATTAATGGGAAATTTATATACCGTATATTATCAGATTTCAAGGTAAATAAACAAAAGTCAAAGATGTTACAAAAATATGCAAACAAAACATCAAAGAGAATTGATGGAAAAAGTGGTTTTAAGACTGATAAAAAATTAAAATAATTGGGTATTATTATCACAAATATGAACTGTATTTTATTTGAAAATGATTATATCATTTTATCATTATATCATTATATCATCAAACATGGGCCAAATTTAAGAAAGACATGTTAAGATTGGTGAATTTATAACTATAACTGTTGGGGAAAATTTCTATGATAAAAATGAATGTTTTGCCAAGAATGATGTTTTTATTTCAGACATCATACCTATCTTGACAATGGATATACTTTTTAAACAATGGCAAAAAGATATATCTAAAATCATATAGCAGAAGGAAAAAAACAAGAATTGGTTTTACTTGATTTAAAATTGCATTTTGCTGCTTGTTGTTTGGTCAGGTTGGAAGAATGGATGTTACTGAGAAATAAGAAAACTTCCACTGGTTTGAGTTTGGATTGCATGGGCATTTATGGTATGATAAAGTTAAAGTCAATGTGGACTTTAAAAATCATTTTATTAGATGTGTCACACTGAGAATATGGAATAGATATCTAGAGTGTTTCCCATAAATATCTTTATGGATCTCAGCTCAAGAAGCATATTATAGAAAAGAAATGGCAAATAAAGATAAACGGTTGACATACAGGGATCTATTGCAAAATTATCGAGAGGAATTTAAAATAAAAAAGAAAATTAATAGCAGAAAGATATAATAATCAATGATTTCCATATTTACATTATGTAAAATGAATAAAAAGACTCATGGAGCAAAGTTAGTTAGAACTTTAAGTACAATTGTGTATTGATGATGAACATGCAATTGCTAAAATGTACAAATTGTTGAAATCTGAGACAGAACAGATTAAAGAAAGTATGATAAAATGGGCTAAGAATTTGATAAAATACAGATGGATCAGTGGGAAAATATATGATTAAAGAGGTTGAAATTTATAAAGTGTTATGATCTCAGAGAGAATTTTATAAAATGAAATTGTCTACAATGTATTAAGGCACCTGAAATGTAAGTTGGACATGCGAACAGCATGAAGGGACATTTTATCATATTTGGTGAACATGTATAGAAGCTAAAGTATAGATACTTTGATACAGAGGATCTTAAAGATCAATACTCAGAACTGTTCATTTCAGGATTAATGAATAAATAGTTTGAAAGCATTTCTGGAAGATTATTTCATCTTATGATCACATGAGTTTATTGCATGTATAGAGATGAAAAATTTAACCATAGAGAATTGGTTGATGAAATTAACAGATTTTGCTAAAATGGACAAATTAATTTCTTTCATTAGAAGACATTATCTACATTTATTCCTGGCTGGAATCCTACCTGGATTCATTATATAATTTTTTTTTAAAAAAATCAACTGGTGACTTTCAGTTTTGATTATCATTATAAAAATAAGAGTAATATTATATAACGAGAGAGAGATTGAGGTCAAAATATATTTGTACCACTGTGAAAAATATTGGAAACTTCATATTTTCCCCTTTTTCTGTTTTTCCTTTAGGTTTTTTCCTGTTTAGGATCTTTTGCTTTTCCTTTGTTTTTATTCTTTTTTATCTTCTTCACTTTGTGTTAGTTTGTGTTACCTTTATCTTCTAGTTTAAAAGTTTTAATAAAAAATATACAAAAAGATCATCTTCAGAGGACTTCGACCTGGTGCCCTTGCCAAATGGAATGAGATAAGATCAATGCTAAGAGGAGGGTTTTGGTAGGTTATTCTAATTCTGGAACGGTCTTTGGAAAGAATAAGCTTTCTAAATATGTTTTTTGTATATAACACAAAGAGAAGAAGAATTAAGCAACAGAAAAAGAAAGCAATGCAATAGCATTGATATCTGTTCATAAAATAGACTTTGCATTTTATTCATATTGGCTCACTATGATGATTCATTTCTATGCAACAACTGAATTACCATACTAAATATAGTTTAGTTATGAATATCACACAGTCTATAGTTGTGTACAAATCTCAAATGTGTAACAACTTTCCATTATATTTATATTTTAAGAACACAAACATTATTCAATACAAATATATACCTCAAGTATATCTTCATACTTTTTCACTGTTCTTTGTAGATCATCATCCTTTTCCGAAATCTTTTTATGCAGTTGAACTGTCTCTGTATGGTGACTTTCTATCAATTCAGATTCCACTTCCTGGGCTTTACCTATTTAAAAATATGTAACAATATTACTATTACTAGGTTAATACAACTAGCTTTCTATTTTAAACCTCTATCAGCAATGGCTAAAAAGTAAATAGCAACTACTCAATCTGAAGAAATTTAAAAAAGAAAATTTAAAAGAAAACAAGTCAAATAGGTATTCTTTGCAAACAAGTCTGTAATTAAGCTGTTTGCAAGGTATTAAAATAGTTTCAAGCTTTATTTTATTTTATAGCTATTTAACAACTATTAGCAAAGAGTTAATGGCTGCTTTCTTCAATGCTTCCCATTCAAAGGGCTTTAACAAACAACCTTAGTCCGTTTCTGGTTTTATTTGAAAAATATGTGTAGCATATCCAACAATCAAGACACAGTATCAGCACAAGATTTTGGAGCTCTTTGACACCTTAAGACAAAGGTTAGTGAAATAGAGCACCTTAACAAAATGAACTGGCACTAATCCACATAGTCCTAATACTTATCTGATCTCTTAGATTTTTATTTCCAAAACTGGGTTAATTTCAGACATCTTCAAACCAAATAAAAATATTTTATAAGCAGAAATCCTCAGAAAACTTAAGGATATTTTTAAATCACAAGGAGATTTTGTATTATAATCACAAGAATTGCAAACAGAAACACATTAAAAATAAAGTAAAAACAAAATGAGGTAAATATTACAATTGATGGTGAGAATCCTAAATAAATTAATAAAGGAAGTTGACGGAAAGAAATGCTTGTTCTCTATTTTTCCTTAATGACTATATGATAGGGCTTCCTGAACAAGACAATACTTTGCATTATTTACTTTTTGCTTATAAATGACTGCTTCTGCTCCGGGAATGAGCTATAGACTATTTCCGAAGGATGATAGCAACTAGGAAAGGCATGTGGATTTATTAGAGAAAGACTGCTTTAATAGAAAAGATAGACATATAATAAACAAACGAAGTTGGGATTTCATATGTTAAGTGTTTTGTTACATTATATTATTTAATTGATCAGTATCTATGCTGCCCATCACACTTGTGTGACTCTGGATGTTTAAAAAAAATAATATAAAAACTATAATCAAAAATAGAGAATTAAAAAATATAAAAGCCAAAACACAGATAGAATACACTAACCATTCCCAGGGTTACACGATACATTTAGACTCCAATGCCAGTTGACAGAGTTAAGTCTTGATGCTCTTTCAAAATGTTAGGAAAGTGAGGGTGTCTCTCATCTCCAGGGACAAAAAGTTCATAGGATGAGAGCAATGGCAGAAAAGATTTTCTTCCTGGACAACAGCAGTCAAAGTTCTTTAATAAAGGGATCTGCAATATCTGCAACTGGCAGATGACCTGAATTACTGTTTGACAGGAAACCACTGACAATTATCACCACCATCTCCATCTCAGATATGCCAACAGCCAAGCCTCCCACAACTGACCCCTCCCTTCTGGTGATCACAGAAAAAGATGTACAAGATCTATTTCACAGATAAAAGCCTGGAAAAGCCCAAACAAAATAACTCCTTCTTGCTTGAAAGCTTGTGCTGACCAATCGGCCCCCATCTTCACCTGCATCTTTAATTAATTACTAAAGATACTGTATGTTATATTCCTTCTTGCTTCAAATGCTCTACTATCATCACGTTGCTGAAGAAACCCTCCATCAAGGAGCTGAATGACTACAGACCAGTTCTTTTGACAGCCATAGTTATGAAAACCTTTGAAAGGTTAGTGCTGGCCCACCTGAAAACCAGCCCAGATCCGCTATTGAACCCCTTGCAATTTGCCTACCGAGCAAATAGATCGGCAGATGATGCTATTAATATGGCTCTGTACTATATCCTACAACATCTTAAAACTCCAAGGACTATGCAAGGGTCCTTTTTGTAGACTTCAGCTCTGCATTCAATACATCATTCCAGATTTTCTTCTAACTAAACTGATTCAGCTAGCCTGACCACACCTGTAAATAGATCATAAGCTTTCTAACAGACAGGAAGCAGCAGGTGAAGATAGGGAAAATTACATCAGATACCTGTACAATTAGCACAAGGGCTCCTCAGGGCTGCAAGCTCTCTTCACTTCTCTTCTCTCTATATATCAATGATTGCATCTCAAAGGATCCCTCTGTTAAAGTACTGAAGTTTACTGATGATACAACAGTGATTGGTCTCATTCGAGACAATGATGAATCTCCATACAAACAGGAAGTTGAACAACTAGCCTTGTAGTGCGGCCGAAACAATCTTGAATTGAACACACTCAAAACTGTGGAAATGATAGTATATTTTAAGAGAAGCCCTCATTTTCTACTACCTCTTACAATACTAGTCAACAGTAGAGATCTTCAAGTTTCTAGATTCTAACATCAAAAATGTCATCAAAAAAACACAACAAAAATTATTCTTCCTGCGCCAGCTCAGAAAGTTCAGACTGTGCAAGGAGATGCTGATACAGTTCTTCAAAGGAATTACTGAGTCTGTCATTTACACCTCCTTAACTGTCTGCTTTGGCACTGCAATCAATCAAGACAGACACAGACTCAATGGATAGTTAGAATTGCAGAAAAAACAATAGCTACCAGCCTGCCTTCCATTGAGGTTCTGTACACTGCACAAGCCAGAAAGAGGGCTATGAAAATATCTACAGACCCCCTCACATTCTGGACATAAACATAAACCTGGGCATAAAATCTTCTTTCCTCAAGACAACACTATAACATTGCACGCCAAAACAACTAGATACAAGGAGAGTTTTTTACCACATGCCATCACTCTGCTAAACAACTAATTGCCACAACACTGTCAAACTACCTAATAGAGCTATATTACTATTATCCTTTTCATCTTTTCTATTACCTATTCCTTATCTTTTTATGACTATAACCTTGTTGCTTGTATTTTATAATTTATATTGTTTTATTTAGTACCTTAGTATGATTTATGTTGCTTATTTAGTATCCCATGACTATCAGTGTTGTATCTTATGATTTATGATTAATGTATTTGATGATTATAATCATGATTTAAATTTAATTAAAAAACTTGTTGATTGCATGTACACTGAGAGCTTATGCACCAGAGACCAATTCCTTATGTGTCCAATCACACTTGGCCAATAAAGTACCGTAAATGCCGGCGTACAAGGCGACCCGGCGTATAAGATAACCCCCGTCTTTATAGCCAGGCCGCATTCCTAGAACGTCGTCTTATACGCCGGAAACTACCAGTATTTCCGGCATATAAGACGACTCGGCGTATAAGATGACCCCCGTCTTTGGCGCCGATTTCAGCGCTCACGGAAGTGGCCTTATACGCCGGCATTTACGGTATTCTATTCTATTTTATTCTATTCTGTTCTGTTCCGTTCCGCTCCGCTCCATGTTATCCTTGCATGATTGGGTGGAATGAATCAATGATATAAGGATGAGAATTCCTCAGACAACCAGATCCCATACCATGGAAGACTTTGAAGGTGATAACAAACACTTTATTGGACCTAGAAGCAAACTGGTCCCAAATGCAGCTCATATAGCAGAGGTGTTACATGTGCAACCTCATCTGCACCATCACATTGTGCACTTGCTGTCCTTTTTGGGCACTTTTCAAGGGTAGCCCCAAGTAATGTATATTGCAGTAGGCCATGTGGGAGATCGCCAGGGAATGAATGACTGAAAGAAGGGTTAGTTTTTACTTTGGAGTGAAAAAGGGGTTGGTTATTTTCTCAACTGCTAAGGGTTTGTTAATCTCTATTCTATTATTGCTTTAATTTCTATTAACATTTCATTTATTCATTCTATTAACATTTTAATATTGAAATTCTCTCTTTTTGTGGTTTCATTAATATCTTTTTATGCTTGAATCTCTATAATTGTTTTTTACTTTATTGCTCTTCCTACCTTAGCAAGACTGCTGATTTTTACTTCTTGACTGTGTTATTATTTTACTCCTAGGTTTTATTATTTAATATCCCTTCCTCTCCAGAGTCACTGGCTTTTTTGATGCCTTTTTCTTAAATTCTGACTGAGTTCACAGTCATTAACTCCTGTCTTCTTTTTTGGGAGTTTCTCCAGGACAGGTATTGAAAGTCTTCTCATTTTGAACTAGCCATTTTTCAGCTACTCTTCCATTCTTTCTTCATTCTCTAATTTCCTGATAGCTGCAACCATTTTGAACTCTGATTCAAAGGAAAGTAAGATGCTGATGATGATACTGTTCAAGTCTTGCCCTCACATAGTCTTACTCAATCTGCTTGTTTGTCATGGAACCTCTCTGCATTAGTGACTTACACACACACACACACACACACACACACACACACACACACTTTTCTTTCCTACTTCTCCCAGTTTCCTACCAACTTTCTTTCTCTGCACTAGAGACATCGCCTTATCTCATCTTCTCTCTTATGGACTTCTCTTTCTTTTAGGTGCTTATATTCTTTGAATTCTACTTTTTTCCTTTTCTTCCTCAGTTGCCAAGTGTGGAATAAATTGGTGGTGGGTGATACCATTTGCAGTCCGTCATGTCATCTGCAGAGCATCATGTCAAAAATGCTACCCAAAATTCTCTGAAAAAAATGTATTTGATATTTGTGGCATTTCAGATGTACAAAGTATATCACTGTAACTTACTGATAGTTTCTTTTACAGCCATTTCTAATTCCTGGTCCTTTTGTGCCAGTTGGGTATTGAATTCCCTCATTAGCTGCTTTAATGTGGAATTGTGCTTTAGTTCAATGTCTTCCTGTTCATATCTATTAAGATATAAGAAATTAAGAAATTAAGACTTTTTTAGCTCAAACATCCTGGTAAAAAACAAACAGGATTATATTGTGTAACAAAGTGGTTAAAATAATTAATTTTATTACTTTTCCATTCAGTACTTATAAAAATGACATCTTATCCTTTAGATTTTTACCACAATGAAAATTTAGAAAAATACTTGAATAATGAATGTAAAAACATATTATATTCATATGTATGTAGTTCAAAAAAGGTCACAATCTAGGAAAAATATAATTAGATTATAACTTGTAGGTAAAATAATTTGGGGGTGAACTATAAATTGATATCCAACAATCTTAAATATAGCATCTTAAACATACATCTTAAATGATTAATTACTGAAAATAGACTATACATGCACTCATTACATTCCTACTATCATATCTTAGCTCATAAGCTGAAGGTTGAATTAGTCTTTTGCTTCCTTATGTGCTTCTTTATATGGTATGAATTAGAAATATATTTTTAAATAACCATAATTTCTGGTTTTTATCTGAACATGAAGTTCAAAATTTTGACTTGATCTAAAGCAAATAGACAGTTCTGATTTGCATGAAATGGGAATATATATAACCATTTTTGGAAAATAATGTTGATCATAAACTTTATTTTATTCACTGTTACTCTACATACATTTTATTAAAGAATTAGCAGTTACTTAATGATAACTTACTTTATTTTTTGTTCCATTTCTTCTCTAGATTCTTTCTTCATAATTTCCAGCTCTTGCTGATGTTCTTTTCGCAAGGTACGCAAATCCTTCTGAAGCTTAATCAGATCTCTGTGCTGTTCCTGTTTCTCTTGCTCTGTTTGTTTCAGTGTTGCTTGCAAATCTTTCTGTTGCATCTGCAACTCATTAACCATCTTTTGAAGTTCAAAGACTGATTTAGTCTTTTCTTCTATATTTCCTTCCAGAGTTTTTATAAGGCCACTTCCTTCATCTAACTGCTCTTGCAGACTCTTTAATTTCTCATTATATTCTGAAATCCTATTTTCCATCTCAATCCTCTGTTGTTCTCTCTCTTTCATAAAATCCTCACCAAAAGACTGCCCTTTTTCCTCCTTTTCTTGAAGCTTTTTTTCTAAGTCTTTAATTGCAATCTCCATATTTTGTTCTTTGTTTTTCAATTCGACTTTGATATTTCTTAATTCACTCTCATACTTGATATGTTGTTCATGTAATGAAGCCTGTTTCTTGATTTGTTCCTCCAGTTCTTGTTGAAGATTTTTAATTTTATTTTTATCTTCTTGAGACCTTTTAAGAAGTTCCTCTTGTTGCTCCTGAGCCTTCATCTTTGAAATATTATATGTATTTGCTTCCTCACTATACTTCTCAAGTAATCTCTCCTTATCCAATAAATCCTTTTTTAAAATATTAATTTTTAAATCATACATCTGTTGCATATTCTCTAAAGCAATGACTTTATCTTGCTCTGCAGAAACCTTTATTGTTTCTACTTTCTTTATCAACTCTTTTTCTAAATCTGAGTCTATTGACTTAATCTTTTCTTCTAAAGACATAATTTTCTTTTCTTTTTCTTCCAATTTTTTCTGTAGCTTATTTTGCTGCTCTTTTTCTTCCACCTGAGTCGTCAACTGCCTTTTAATAGAAGCAATTTTGTGTTCAGCCTTTTTTTTCAGATCTGCTATTTTAGAAGTTGCTTCTGATATAAGTCTTTCTTCTAAAGCCTTTAATTCTTCTTCTTTTGTTTTCAATAGAGCCAGTTTTATTCCTTCAAATTCTTTTGATTTTTCTTCAAGGACAATTTCCATAACCTGCATTTTTTTCTCAAAAGTTAGGACATTTTGTTCCATCTCCTTCAGGTTGTCATCCTTGTCTACTAGTGCCTTCCGAGCCTGTTGAAGTTGTTGTGCCATTTCTTTTTGCTCATTGTCTTGTTCATGGTATATTTTACATTCTCCCATTAAATAATCATTTTCTTCTGTTTTCCGAGCAATATGCTCTTCTAATTCAGCAATTCTCGCTGTATGGATTTTTATCTCAGCAACCAAATCAGATTCCTGTTTTTCTTTTCTGACCTGCTTTTGTTCCATTAAACATTTTAAATGTTCTAACTGTTTTGTTTGTTTATCATGCTCATCCTTTATTCTATTCAGTTCTTCTTCTTTTTCACTAGCTTGGTTATTACTCAGTTCAATCTTGCTTTGTAATTCCTTAATAGTATTGTAATTTTGTGTAAATCTCAACTGAGCTTTCTTCTTCCATTCTGACATTTTGTTCACCCAGTGGTCTACCTGTTTCAGGGCAGTAACTTTATCTTCACTCAATGATTCAACTTTGGAAGATAGTACTTCCATCTCATTCAGTAACTGCAGTTGGTTTTCTCTGTGTTGCTTGTTTAACATCATTGTGGCAGTTTCTTTTTCTGATATGCTCTTTTCAAGTCTGAGGTTTAATTCACTAATAAGCTTGTTAAGATCTGTGATTTCTGCTTTTTTCTCATTTAGCTCCTCCCTCATTGAAGTAACAATATTACTATACTCAGATAATTCTTTCTTCAGCTCTGTGATACAAGATTCCTTCTCTGTTGCCGTTTGCTGCTGGAGATAACTTTCTTTTTCCAATAGTTCTTTTTCTGTTAGAAGTTTATCTACATCTGCTTTCATAGACATCATTAAATACTCCTTTTCCTCCAAGTGCTTTTTTGACTCTTGTAAACTACTGTTTAAAGTTACATGACTCTCTGTTAATTGTTCAAGTTGAACTTTTAAGTCTGGAACTTGATCGACTTTAATTAATATGTCTTCTTTAATTTTTATTATCTGTTGCTGACAGTGAGCAATTTTAACTGTTATTGAAGAAATTTTTTCACTGCATTGTTTAACCAATTCGCCAATTTTTATTTTCAATAACGCTTCTTCTTTTTGCTGGTAATCAGCCAGTTTTGTAATTATATCTCTCTTGAAATTTTCAAATTCAGCTTGTTTTTGTCGAAACTCATTTTTTTCCCTTTCTAACTTTGTCTCATAATTCTCCTGTTCTTTAAGATGTGACAGTTTTAAGGCCTGGTATTCAGCATCAGACATTTTCAATTTATCTGCCAGTTCCACAATGTCATATTTCTTTTTTTCTTCTATTAACTTTATCTCATTAAGCTGTTCCTGTACTGTTATTTTCTCTTTCAAAGAAAAACTAAGATCGTTCTCTAATTTTACAAGTTGTTTCTTTAAATCACTTTCTTTTTGTGTCAAAAGATTCACTTGTGCTAATGTCTCTTGCAGTTGTTCTTGAAGTTCATGTATAGTTTTGTCTTTCTTTGTATGTTCGTCCTTTAACCAGGTAATCTCTGCATTATTCCCTTCTCTTTCAGCATCAAAGGTGGCCAGCTTTTCTTTCAGGTCTCTTATTTCCTGTTCTTTTTCTTGCAATTCTGTTTCATGTTTTTCCTGACGTTCTTCAACCTCTTGTTTTAGTTTCTTCTCCGAAAGATGTACCACTTCACCCACTTCTTGTTTGTGAGCTTCAGCCATGCTTTTTAGTTGCTCCTTCTGATTCATCTCCAGTTTTAAAACAGCATCATTTATTCCAAGTGAACTGGCGTGAGTCATTTCCAGCATTTCTGAAGTGAACTGCTTCTCTTTCTGACTAAACTCCAACTGGTTGCTCTCAATCTCACTTTTTAGTTTTGCTTCTTGTTCTGAAAGTTTTTGCTTAAATTCTTCCTGCATATTTTTTATTTTTTCTATAGCTTCCTCTGTTTGTGTCTCTTGCTGCTTTAACTTGAGCTCATATTCGTCCCTTAAAACATTCATTTCTTCTTTTTTGATTGATAACTGCTGCCTATACTTTTCAATTTGTTGATTCAGGAGATGCTTTATTTGTCCAATTTCACTTTCCTTGCCAGTACAATGACTTTTTAACTGACTGATCTCTCCTCCAAGGTTTCTTAACTGTGATTCATACTTTTCTGTCAGAAATGAGGTGTTCTGAATATTTTTTCTCTTTTCTTCTTCTAATTCACATTTCAGCTCATTTACCTGGGATGTCTGAAAATCTAACTCAGTTTTGATTTCGTTCAGCTGGGTTTCAGTTTTTACAACCTGTTCTTCAAGTTTTGACTTTTTATCCTTTATAACTTCCAATTTCTCTTGCAAATTTTTAAACTTGTTTTCATAAATACTTGCATTATCTTCCCTGGACTGACATAAAACATCTAATTCTGCAGACATTCTTTTACATTGCGACTCAGCTTTTCCTAGAGTTTCTTTCATTTTTTTCTGCTCTGATTCTTCTTCACTCTTCTCTTTTGCTTCCAAGAATTGTTTGAGTTGAATAATTTCTTCTTTAAATGATTTCTCAGTTACTTCCTGGTCTTTAAAAATAGCTTCAATTTGTTCCTTATGATTATTTCTTTGCTGATCAAGTTTGGCTTCAAACTCCACCTTTGCTTTATTTGCATCTTCTTTTAACTTAGAAATATATTGTTCAAGATTTTGACGGCTATTCAGAACATCTGATAATTCAGATGAAAGTGCTTCTAGCTCTGTTTGTTTCACATCAAGCTTTTCTAAAGTTTTTTCATTCATTTCTTCTATATGAGCATGAAATATAGCCTCTTTTTCTTTTAACAGCTTAGCTGTTTCTTCTTCATGATGTTTGCTCAGTTTCTCCATTTCTGATTGCTGCTGCTGGGTTAATATGTCAAACTGTTCTTTCCAATGTTGCTGTTCTTGCTGCTTCGTGTATTCAATTTCTTTTTTATGTTTTTCAGTCATAGTAGCTATTTTTTTATTGTGCTCATTTTTGTCTGAATCTATCTGAGTAGTCAGTTCTTCCAACCGGCTTTTGTCATTCTGTGGACACTTCATAAGGGAACTTTCCAGCTCAAGAATTCTCTGTTAAGAAGATCAGTGGAAAATATAATGAATAAAAAACACTGTTTTTTTTAAAAAAAATGTTTAAAATATTGTCTACTTAAATGTTATGCATAACAAGATTCTAACAATTTAAATGAAAAAATTAAATATAAATTATGTTGCTTAGTCTGACAAATGGCATTAAATCTAAAATCATTTAGCTTGTTACATTGATAGCTCTATGTAGATTTGATCTATATAAAATCAATATTTCTGGACTCAAAACCTAGGAAAATACGTAGAATGATTGCACTTTGTATAAAGTTAGTATGAACTAATTATTTTCTGCAGAAGATTACTGTAAAATTCACAAACTCTTATCATAGTAATGACTACAAGAAAAACTCAGAAATATGAAGGAAAAAAGCCAAAAGAATTTTCCATATGAGAAACGAAATCATCCACAGAATAAGTTTTAACATTTCTATGTGATTTAATTCTCTTCTTAAGAGACCTGATAATTTATATTTACTTTCAAGCAAAATTTTCAAAATATTCAAAAACATTTCATGTTTTTTACTTACTGTTTGGAAAGTTTCTACTTCCAGTTGCATATCTTCAAGTTTTTTGTTGCATTCTGACTGTAGAGCCTTTTTCTGCAATTCTATTTCTTCTAAAGCTAATAAATTTTGTTGTTCTTTCTCTTTCATCGCCCATAGGTGATTCTTCTGGCATTTTTTCTGTATTTAAAATTATATATATATATATTTTAAAAAACAACCCAGTACCATCTCATCACTAGCACATAAGTGGTATTAGAAAAAAAAATCTGATTTTTTTAATGGAGGTATAATAAAGCCTATAATTTTAAGATTTTCATATTACCATGTGAACATGTCAAGCACAGTATTTTAGAGTGAAGAAAGGGCAGCATATCCCCATTATTTCACAGAACTTGTTAACTAATCTTACATATACATAGCAAAACTTGACAGCTTATACTGAAAGGTCTCTGGTGTTGCCGGTCACTGGCTTGTACCACAACTGAAATTTAGCCTCTCTTAACATAATATTAAGCACTCAGTTAAAGGGGTAAGATCTCAGTGATAAGAATAAGAGTATATAAGAGTAGATCTTTTTATTGACTGGATAGAAATTATTGTACACGTAGTCCTTAGTTAACAACTATTTGTTCAGTAACTGTTCAAAATTACAATGTGCTGAACAAAAGTACTTATGATTAGTACCTAAGTTACAGCTATTGCAATACCCCGCGGTCATGTGATCTGGGCTCTTGGCAACCCATTTGCACTTATGACAAATTGCCATGCCTCCCCCCCACGATACCACTATCAATAGCACTTAGACTTATATACCGCTTCACAGTGCTTTACAGCCCTCTCTAAGCAATTTACAGAATCAGCATATTGCCCCCAGCAATCTGGGTCCTCATTTTACCAAATTCTGAAGGATGGAAGGCTGAATCAACCTTGAGCCAGTAAGGATCAAACCCTTGGCAGTCAACAGAATTACCCTGCAATACTGCATTCTAACCACTGCGCCACCACATGATGAAGTGATTTCCATTTGAAATTCTCCTTGCTGGCTTCCTCAGAAAGTCAACAGAGAAGCAGGCAAGAAGGTTGCAAGCCCTGCCACAGGACTCCCTCTGGTTCCTGAGAGCTGTCTGGAAAAGGTCCACTGGACCTCATTTCGGGACACATCTTTTTCAATCAATTTCTGTGATGAGCCGAGGTGGCGCAGCAGTTAGAGTGCAGTACTGCAGACCGATTTAGCTGACTGTGTTCAGCAGGTCAGCGGTTCAAATCTCACCGGCTCAAGGTTGACTCAGCCTTCCATCCTTCCGGGGTAGGTAAAATGAGGACCCAGATTGTTGGGGGCAATGTGTGTGTGTGTATATATATATATATATATATATATATATATATATATATATATATACACATACAAACATTGCTTACTGGTGTACACCGCTTAGAGAGTGCTTGCACTTAAAGCGGTATATAAATCTCATAAATAAATAAATAAATAAAATAAATCAGTCTCTTTAGACTGAAAGAGCCGCCTGCCAGATTGATTTTGCCTGCACCAAGCATCCTATCCACTCTCAAATATGCTGGATGAAAAGCCAGGAATGATTTTAGCACACGAGATTTACAGCTGGTTCCAAATGCCCCGTGCTTCAAGTGCTCCGTGCTAAAATCCCACCATGGATTTTAGCACGGAGCACTTCAGTCAATATCTTTTGAAAGGGCTGTTCGTCAGATTGATTTTTCCCTGCACAAAAAGCCCTGTGGCTCTGGTGCTGACTAGAAAAAGTCTGGCTCTGACACTTGCTGGAAAAATCCTTTCCAACCTTTAGAAATATTTGCCTTAAAGCAAACACAGTGTTCCCGAAGGATAGATGGCATCATGCAGCAACTCCCACGATGGAAAGGGGAACTAACATACTGGGTCAGAGAAACGAAGCTCTAATTTTTGGGACTGCACATTGAGATGGGGGAAGGTTTGTGATAAACTGAAGAAACAACACTCCGGTCTTTGGGATCCTGGCTTTGTTTCTACAGCCTAGCATAGGAATTCTCTTCTACACACTCAGGGGAATTGCCTGCCTTCTTTCAGCAGGCATCTCATTTCACTCTGCCTGCTTAGCAACCACCACTGGGAGGGCAGGATAGTAGCTACTGATAAGAGGATCACAACTGACATCTTGCTTAATAAGGCAATGAATTATAACGAAAATTCCAGGCTCAATTGTGATTGTAAATTGACAGCAACCTGTAATGTCCTATTCTGCATCATATTTTATACTGGTTTGATTATTGTTAATGTTTCTATACTGATTTTAATAACAAAATGATATAAGAGACTTAGCTATATGAATTCTGTAACTTCTTAACATATTCAATTTTATGAAGTTTGTAAATTTGTTTATTTGTCATGTATTTTATGTTATTTCTCTTTTGAATGGGCCTCTTTTTTCTTTGTCCTTTTTTCTTTAAAATGTTTAATTTTTAAGAATGATATTGGAAAAATGAGAGATGAAATTAAAAATATGAATGATAAGATAGGTAACATACAACAAACAATGATGGAAAATGAACAAAGAATTCAAAAAATTGAAACAAAAATGGAGCTCGTTGATTGTAAAATAGAAGGGATGATACAGAAATCTGATCAAGCAAATAGGGAGTTGACTGAATCTATTGCTTTTCTGGAAATGAATAAAGCTTCGTTTTGTTTAAGATTTCAAAATATTGTTGAGGAAAAGGAGGAAGATTTGGGAGAAAAGATGGCAGAGATTTTGGCGGTGATTTTAAGCAAAGAAAAATTGGAAGTAAAAAGAGACATGGATGAAACATATAGAGTATACACAAATTATGCACGAAGGCATAGATTGGCGAGAGAGGTTCATATAAGGTTTACTAGAAGATCAATAAGGGATGAAATATATAAAAAAACGAGAGATGAATCAATAATGTATAAGGGTAAAGAAATAATTGTATTAAAACAAATACCACGTAGTATACGAAATCAGAGATGAGAATACCAATTTTTAACGACTTAATTAATTAAATATAAAGTCAAGTTTCATTGGTTAATACCTGAAGACATACTTTTAACTTGGCAGGAGAAAAAAAATGCAAGATAGATACACTTGAGAAAGCACAGGACTTTTATGAGAGTTACTTTTCACAAGGAGAAGAACAAGAAAGTAGGGAAGAGCTGGAGAGTAAAAGTTATGATGAAGATCTATTAGAGGAAGTAGATCGAGAGCGAGAAATACAAAAGTTACAAGAAAGAGAAAGGTTAGAAAGAGAAGTAAAAGGAAGACTTATAGAGACAAGAAGTACAAAACAAAATAAAAACAAAAAAATAGGTCAAGTTAAAAATGAGAGACATAATTAAGCTCTTTTCTATAATATCAAGAAAAAGAGTTTAGACGTTTTACAATTTAAGGAAATTAGATGTAGATGTGATGTATCTTTAGGAGGTTTACATAAAATAGGATTATAGAAAATTACTAGAGAAAGTAAAATTTAGAAACATTATACACAATATTAGCATAAAACAAGAAAGGAGGAATTATTATATATGTCAAAGAAAAATAAAATTAAATAAATATACTTGGATGAAAAGGGGTGAATTTTAATGTTGGAAATAGTATTAGAGTAGAAACAGTATATGCACTAAATAATATAAGAATATTAGTATGATCACCATGCTTAGATGGAATTCCGGTCGAGTCATATAAAAAAATGTGAGTGTTACTACAATGAATAATGTTGGATTCCTAGTAAGCAGTAGAATATGAAAGAAGGAAAATGTAAATAAGAAACAATGGGGCAATAAGGACAAATATTTCAAAGAAGAAAGAGGGGGGAAATGTAAAGAATAGAAGAGTACTGTTACAAACTGCTGTTAACAAAAAAGGATATATTACGTGTGTATGTATGTAATGTTTGATGTGTTTTGTTTTGTTTTGTTGGTCTAAAATAATAATAATAAAAATGTTTAATTTTAACCATATTAATTACAATTTGCCCTCATCATAAGGAGGATTGCCAATGTGAACTGGCTATTCCACTTCACAAAACAAAAGAAAAAAATGAATAGCTTCATACTGGAAGCCATAGACTACCTCCCCCCCAAAGATCAAGTTTTTATTTAAAATAATTAATTAGCTAAATTAAAACTAAATTTAAAACAAAATAGAATTTTCAAAATTCTGTAACATTTAGCACATGATGTTGAATTCCAGTTTAAATGGAAACTGTATCACATACTTCTAAGACTGATTATAGTATGTCACAATCTTTTCAGATGGTCCAGAAACTTTCACAACAAGACTACTTAATGTGACAATGGAATCATATAGATAACTAGTTCTCAAAGCCAGTAGTTTGAATACAGGCTCAGTTTATTATGTTTATCTTTACAATGCTATTCAGCTCGAAATTAAGTTATTTGGCAGCACAGGTAGTCCTCAACCTAAGACTTTAATTCAAACCAGAATTATGGTTCTACATTGTGACACTTGTTAAAGGAACAAGTGAGATAGGGTGCCTCAGGGGATTGGGGAGGTCCTTGGAAGGGCCAGGTGCATACAGTAACTCCCAGGGCTCCCCACTCCCTCAGGCACACAGTGCTCTTCTTCCTGCCCAGCTGGGACCCACACTGTGGGGCCTCCTCAACCCATCAAGCATTGGTCTATTGACTTTTTCTGAAGATTGCCTTCCTATACAGTGGCTGCATGGTGTCATCCCAGAAGTGGGCACCATTTTGGAAGCAAATACAATTCTGGGATTGTGAGAACTGTGACCACTCCCAAAATGATGCCCACTTCTGGGCAGCACCATGCAGTCTCTGTATAGGAAAGGCTGTGCAACAGATCAGCTGGTACTCCTTCCCAAAAGTGATCTTCAGAAAAGATAAATGAAGTGAGGTGTAATGAAGAAGAGGAAGAAGTATCAGACCCAGTCGAATAGGAAGCAAGCTCCAGGCCTATGGTGTGAGATAGGCCCAAGGGACACAGTGAAGCAGGATGTGGTGGGGGGGAGAGATAGGTGGAAAGGGACAGTTGAAAGATCCCTGGGGATAGTTGTAAGGGTGGACAGATTGCAAAATATCTGAATTTTGGGTATGTGGCCCTGGGGCACTGCAGCAGCCATAATTGAGGTACAGGTCAAAAGTCATTTTGTTCAGCATCACCATAATTTTGAATAGCTGATCAAATGGTTGTAAATTGTAGACTACCTGTAATCCTGGTGGTTAGATGCTCTTTCCCAAGCTATTCAAAAGCATGTAAGGTAAGAACAGTATTAATAAAAAGAGTGTTTCTAGAATGTGCTAAACTAAAACACTCAGTTCAAGAATATATTCAAATTTTTTAAATGCAGATGAACACACAAAGTCAACAAAATCTTCTTTTAAAAAACTGAGCACTGTAAATTATTAAATCATTCAAATCCAAAAGTGCTATTTTGGTTTCTAAGAACTAGATTTCTTTTCAAGATCACACATCCCAATTCATAGAAACTTAGAGTAACTCACAAAATGTACTGCAAGCAACTAGAAATGGGGAAATTTTCATACTTTTTAGCTTAGTATGCTGTGTAAACATAAAGAAAAATATTTGTAGCTCAGGGTTAAATTACAGGCGCCTTGTTGCCCTCTGACCTTGGTTTCTTGTAGATGTTTCATTATCTAAATGAGGTAATTTCATCAGTGCTAGTAAAGACTGGGATTTGCTTTCAGTTTATATTCTTATGACTTGCCCTATCAGTGTCAATGGGAGTGGTCTTACAGGTTCTTTGGTTTGGCTGTTAACTGTTCGCCTGTTTGGCAGTTTCTTGATTGATGGTCTGATGTTAATGGTCATCTGGGTGTTGACTTTTCTGCACAATATGTAGATGTTGTTTATGTCTATATGTCTATTGATAGCCAATTTGTCAGAAAGCCAAACTTTCAGGAATTCCCTAGTGTTTTTAGACTTGGGTTGGTCTAGGATGGTCACAGGTTCCCAGTTGAAACTATGGTTAAATCTGTCCATATGTTGTAAAATTAAAGAGTTTTCATCATATCTTCTGACTGCTATCAACAAATATCAGCATAACATGATAAACGTCAAGGAACAGTTGGAACAGACCACCACATGAGAGCACATGGAGAGGCTGGCTACAATCATTATGACTACTTCCCAGAGACATGCCAGAAAAAGGAAAACCAAACTTCAGGCTAGCTGATTCTGTTTCAGAATCTAATCTTTGATTTCATGATGGAGCTTTTTCAGCAAGCTCCCAGGAACTAAACAGGTGGTAGCGACTTCAACCTTCTTGCTGGTTTCACTGTTGACTTTCTGGAGGAGCAGCAGAGAAAATTGTAAATGACAATCATGTGATTGTGGGACACTTGGCAACCCATTGTTAAGTGTAAATGGACTGCCAAACACCAAGATCACAATCACATGACTACGGGGATGCTGCAACTGCCATAAGTTTGGGCAGGGTCATAAGTCCCTTTATTCAGCACCACTGTACTATTAAACATTCACTGAATGAATGATTGTAAGTCAAAAACTACCTGTAGTTCATCTTGTCTGTTTCTCTCTGGTATACCTAAAAGGCTGACACAACCTTCCCTGCTGAGCTTCTCTAGAAAGCCAGCAGGGAAGGTCGCAAGTCTCCCCCACCTGCATACCTTCCCTTAGCCCCCTGCACTCATGCATACCAACCAGTCATGCACCCCATGCACTCATCCTGACTTATTCAGTACCAGCCCTTTCTTTGATCTGCATAGACCTTTTTACATATGTTGACTTATTTGAGTATCCCTTCAGACCCACTCATGCCCCCAACCCACTCCACAACCTCCACAACCCATCCTCACATCCCTTGCACCCAAATGTTTTCCCTAGCCCAAGAGATGCCTCTCACACATCATCCTCAACCTGCACAATGACCCTCCCCCACCCACTCACATCCTCCCCCATCCATTAACAGATATACCTCTCTGAGGGCTTGGGACTTACGACTTCCTGCTAGCTTCTCAATTGATTTTGGTGTAGGAAGCTGCCTCACCTAACAATCATAGAATTCAACTAACAATAGCAACTGCAATTACAAGGAGCAATGTGATCACGCTTTATCATCACATCACTTAGAAACAGAAATTTGGTTCCCAATTGCTATGATGAGTCAGAGATTATGTAATATTATCATGATTAACTCTGAATCTATTTTATTAATACTAACCACTTCCTGCTTCATCCTTGTTAATTCCTGTTGAAGGCTCACACATTTTTCTTCATTTGCTTTTTCAATAGCTTTGATTTTTTCATCCATTTCTGCCTGCAATTTCTTGTGGGCTTCTTCAGCCATCTGAGCTGCACTTAAAGCTTTCTCAAGCTGTTCAAATGCTATAAAAAAAGCATACAACAAATATAAAATTAATTATGAAAATTCAGGCTAAAATTAAAATTTTCACTTAGAGATTATGTTTTCATTGAATTACTAAATTATTTTTTTAAAAAAGCTTCAGGTTCTACATTATACTTGTATCCATTTTTTAATCTTCTAAATGTAAAACAATAACATTCAGATACTGTCAATGTGATGGGAACAGTATGTTAGTTTACAAGAGGGTCTCTTTATCAGAAACCAAGTAAGCATGCTTGGACATAATTGGGCTTTGGTTATGCTTGTAGTATACTAGCCAAACTGTGCACAAAAACAATGCTTATACCATTAGGAAGGAATTCTGTAAGTGGCACACATATCAGTCTGATATGTTAATCTATGCCTTCTCCATCTTCTTAAAAAGATACTAATCTTTAGAATGTAGATATCCACCTTACTAAAATCAAAAAGAAAAGTTGAGGACAACATGTATGATGATCATAGCATATGGCTGATTGTGATTTGGAACATAAGAGAAGAAAATGGCAAAGAACAGGAATTAATAAATGACATGAATAAAAGAAAAAGAAACAAATTGTGTATATCTGAAACTAAGAGAAAAGAGAAAGATACTATATTTAAATGAAGGTAGACTAATCTTATGGACTGAGTAAAGGAATAAATTGAATTATGAACAAATGATAAACAAAAGACTCAATCTAGTACACATTATATCATTTATTATCACAAGTATAGAATAGGAACTTATAAATTGATATAGGTTACACCCCAATAAATTTAATGGAGGAATCCATTGAGTTTGGGGGTAAATTGCAACATTCCAATTGAATAAGTTAGAATAGGAAAAATTATTCTGCTAACAGACATGAAATGAATAGATGGAATGAGACAGGTGACTGGACCCATTTGTACATCAAAATTAATAAGAATATGATTACTGGTATCTCCTTAAAATGTATTTTTTTTGAATGCAGCAATTGTTTTAAGCATAAATATAAACCTACAATGCTTTTTCCAGTACAGAACAGTTTTTTAAAAAAAATATCATAAATTGCAATGAAAGTATGATGTTATGCTAGTAAGTAATATGAAAAAATGTTGAGTGTAATTATGAAGTGAGAGGCCAGGAAGATGATCCTGATGGAAATATGTATAAACCATTACTTGTGAAAAGGGTCTGAAATATATTTTGTATCCAGACAAATGAATAATATTTGGAAGCAGCTCAAGAAGATACTTCCCTGAATTACTGAAGCGTAAGAAGGAGGCAGGGTAGAATGGTGTGGAGCACTATCAGCTGTAAAAGATTCTGTTACTAGAGACCAGAGCTCCTCAAATCCCGGGCTGTGGACTGGTACCAGGCCACAAACTGTTAGGAATCGGGCTGTACAAGAAACGGGCGAGTAAGTGAAGCTTCATTTACACATGTGCAAGTTCTAGGTTGCAGAGGAAACCCATCCCCCTGCCCCGAAATTGTTTTCCATAAAACCATTCCCTGGTGCCAAAAAAGTTGGGATCACTACTATAGACAATCTTAAATAAAGTAGTTTTAAATTTTGTTTTGAGTTGATTAGTGTTCTGTTCTACTTACTGGGGTTAATAGGCAGCCCGATATACAGCAAATTGCTGTATACTCCATTTATGGAATTCTTTCTTCCAAGATGTTCAATTGATGTGCAAATTCTCTTCATTTCAATGCCAGGTGAAACCTTCCTATTATCATATGCTTCTTAATTTATTTTTAATTATATGTTAATTTTTGTTCTTTTAGTTTTTGAAAAGTTCTCTTGGCTGCCCCCTGATTTCTATGGTGTTTTTATTTTTGCATTTCATTATTCCTCATCTCTGTATGTTTTACTATACACTGACCAAAGAACTTTAGCTACTGAGCAGTTTTAAATAAATATGTGAGAACCCAATTAAAAGGAAGTACATTTTTAAATCTATAGATAGAATAGCTAAAACATTTCAATACAAATTAGGATTTACTATTCAAATGCAATAATCCAGCAACATGCAGTTCTGGTTTAATACAATTGCAAGCACACAACACCAAGAAAAAAAGCTAGACACGCAAAAAGACAAATAGCTGAATTAGGAAAACATGAAAAAAGACATAACACATCAAAGGAACACATTTGTCTTAAAAAGTATAATCATATGCATCTCAGGCATTCTAACATTGTTATAATGTTACATCGTTATTCTTTCTAGTCAATTCTAAACAAAAAAAATCTCATAAATACACATACACATGCCTAGTAACCAAATTAATTTTTATTCATTCAATATTTATCTGAATTCAAAACTATAAAAGTAGTTCTGATGTATTTGGAGGGTTTTTTTTAATTAGGAGGGTATGTTTTGCAGAAAAGGTTTTAAATTTCTACATTTGCATTATTTTGACAATACATGGCCATTGTTTTTATCTAAATCTTTTTCTGCAAGCTGGTACTCTCTAAGCATCCTTTGTAATTCCCAAAATTTAAATTCCTTAAGCAATTCAACCAAACATTAGGTCTAGTGTATACAAATAACATTAAGTCTATGTAACTGCCACATCATACATGAAATATGTTCACTTCAGTGCTTAAATTATTGTAACATAATGCCCCCCTTTATGGATTACTGCCTTGTCGTGGCGAAGGGGCTTGCGTAACTCAATGAAGCTATAAGCTATGCCGTGCAGGGCCACCCAAGACGGACAGGTCATAGCAGAGAGTTCTGACAAAATGTGATCCACTGGAGAAGGAAATGGCAAACCACTCCAGTATCTTTGCCATGAAAACCCTATGGACAGTACTAAAAGGAAAAAGATATGACGCTGGAAGATGAGCCCCTCAGGTCGGAAGGTGTCCAATATGCTACTGGGGAAGAGCAGAGGGCTAGTACTAGTAGCGCCAGAAAGAATGAAGCGACTGGGCCAAAGCCGAAAGGACGCTCAGCTGTGGATATATCTGGTGGTGAAAGGAAAGTCCGATGCTGTAAAGATTTTTTCTCCATAGGAACCTGGAATGTAAGATCCATGAATCAAGGCAAGCTAGACGTAGTCAAAAAAGAGATGACAAGACTGAACATCGACATCTTAGGAATCAGCTAACTAAAATGGACAGGAATGGGTGAATTTAACTCAGATGACCATCAGATATACTACTGTGGGCAAGAATCCCTCAGAAGAAATGGAGTAGCCTTCATAGTCAATAAAAGAATAGGAAAAGCAATACTGGGATACAATCCCCAAAATGACAGAATGATCTCAATTCGAATCCAAGGCAAACCATTCAATATCACAATAATCCAAATCTATGCCCCAACCACTGGTGCTGAAGAGGATGAAATTGACCGGTTCTATGAAGCCCTACAGCACCTTATAGAATTAACACCAAAAAATGATGTCCTTATCATCATGGGGGATTGGAATGCTAAGGTAAGAAGCCAAAAGATAACCGGAATAACAGGCAAGTTTGGCCTTGGAGTACAAAATGAAGCAGGGCACAGGCTAATAGAATTTTGTCAAGAGAATACGATGGTCATAACAAACACTCTTTTCCAACAACCCAAGAGACGGCTCTACACATGGACATCACCAGACGGTCAACATAGAAATCAGATTGACTATGTGCTCTGCAGCCAAAGATGGAGAAGCTCTATACAGTCAGTAAAAACAAGACCAGAAGCTGACTGTGGCTCAGATCATGAGCTTCTCGTTGCAAAATTTAGGCTTAAATTGAAAAAAGTAGGGAAAAGCACTAGGCCACTCAGGTATGAACTAAATCATATTCCTGATGAATATACAGTAGAGGTGACAAATAGATTTAAGGAATTAGATCTGATAGACAGAGTGCCTGAAGAACTATGGATGGAAGTTCGCAACATTGTACAAGAGGTAGCAACTAAAACCATCCCAAAGAAAAAGAAATGCAAGAAAGCAAAATGGCTGTCTGAGGAAACTTTGGAAATAGCTGAGGAAAGAAGGGAAGCGAAAGACAAAGGAGAAAGAGAAAGATACACCCAATTGAATGCAGAATTCCAGAGAATAGCTAGAAGAGATAAGAATGCCTTCTTAAATGAACAGTGCAAAGAAATAGAAGAAAACAACAGAATAGGGAGGACCAGAGATCTCTTCAAGAAAATTGGAGATATGAAGGGAACGTTTCATGCAAAGATGGGCATGATAAAGGACCAAAATGGCAGGGACCTAACAGAGGCAGAAGAGATTAAGAAGAGATGGCAAAACTACACAGAAGAACTATACAAGAATGAGCTTAACATCCCAGATAACCACAATGAGATGGTCACTGACCTCGAACCAGACATCCTAGAATGTGAAGTGAAATGGGCCTTAGAAAATCTGAGCAACAACAAAGCTAGTGGAGGTGACAGTATTCCAGCTGAGCTATTCAAAATCTTAAAAGACGATGCAGTAAAAGTGCTACACTCAATTTGCCAGCAAATTTGGAAAACTCAACAGTGGCCACAGGATTGGAAAAGGTCAGTTTACATTCCAATTCCAAAGAAAGGCAATGCCAAAGAATGTTCAAACTATCGCACCATTGCACTCATTTCACATGCTAGTAAAGTTATGCTTAAAATCCTACAAGCTAGACTCCAGCAGTATGTGGATCGAGAACTAACAGAAGTACAGGCAGGATTTCGAAGAGGCAGAGGAACTAGAGATCAAATTGCCAACATACGCTGGATCATGGAGAAAGCTAGGGAGTTCCAGAAAAACATCTACTTATGCTTCATTGACTATGCTAAAGCCTTTGATTGTGTGGATCACAACAAATTGTGGCAAGTTCTTAAAGAGATGGGAATACCAGACCACCTTATTTGTCTCTTGAGAAACCTATATGCGGGTCAAGAAGCAACAGTGAGAACTGGACACGGAACCACTGATTGGTTCAAAATTGGAAAAGGAGTCCGGCAAGGCTGTATACTGTCGCCCTGCCTATTTAACTTATATGCAGAGCACATCATGAGAAAGGCAGGGCTAGAT